CCATAATTGCTACCTTTTCACTCGAAGCGCTCTGATCGGCTAAAAATTAGTAGATAATCAAGCCGCGTTTTTACATCAGTGAAAGATGTACATTGCAACCCCTAAGTGTCTAAATGATTCTATCATTTACAGGTTTTAGCTACTTTTTCTTTTTTTTTCTCGTTAGATTTTATCAAATTCCATATTAAAGCTGGACATCACCGTGTAAATATAACTCACTGTTGCAGTAAATATAGATAACAAATCCACCGTTACGCTAAATATCATGGATGAGATAATAATCATGTGAGTTACTGGCATAAACACACGTTACGATTGTTAAATTACGTGGGTGGCAAAAAGAGATGCACGAAAATTACCCGCGAGTACACATTAAGATGTTCGCATATTGGGATTCGACGGAAAAAAAAAAGAAAAAAAAAATGAAAAATATAGTACGAAGCATACGGACAAGTATGTACAATATATACATTGACACGAGAGCATGTTCGCTTTTCGTACTCTTGGTGCAAAAAGGTTGTAATTAGTCCAATCTGCAGCGGCTGTACACAACTTTCGTAGTAAAATTGAGAGCCAATCGAAGCGTTTTGCTTTATGCAGCGACGCAACAGTGCAACAAGTGAAGAGGTAGCCTTTACTCTTACTCGGTATGACTTTATCCCTATTAAACTTGCTCCTACGACTCGCGGCCGATACTTCGAACCTTTGTCCACCGAATCTCGTGACAAATGTGCCCATAATTATGAAAGTGGTCTAAGTCATATATTTTTTGTTTCGAAATTACATTGAATTAATTTAGTTTGAAATAATGTGGCATGACATAACTGATAAACTCATTTTTTTTTCAATTTTGACTTAGACCACTTTCATAATTATGGGCACAAATGTCGCATATCACCCGAAAACAGGACGTTCCTTGGAGCGACTGATCGCCACCGATCGCGGAAGAAGACTCCACCTCATAAGCGTGAAACTCGTCAAGTCGAATGGATCGGAAAGATCGATCTTAGGGACCTAACCTCAAACCTCGACTCTCGTGACGTCACAGAACGCCAAGTTTAACTTCATAAACAGTCTATGAATGGTTAGCATTAACTATCGTCGGACATGCCGTTGCACGGTATTGTTCGTCCTCGGTAAGAGGAAAAAAAAAAAATAAAAATAAAAATAAAAATAGAATTGCTAAGAGAAGGATTGATTCCTACGCGATCATGATTGTAATGTAGAACCCATTAAATAGACCGACATAAAGTGCGGATAATTCGATTGCACGATATTAACCCTTAAATGCATAACGTAGCCATTCAACAGTCCATCCGTCTAACTTTTTTCAAATTAATTTTTCTTTAATTTTTTTTTCATCTCACAATGCACTATTATATTACATTACACTACGTTATATTATATTCCTATACAATACGATTAAACAAATTTTCAAATAAATATCTTTCTCTAGCTTATCCTATCTCCATTGGTTCTCCCCGTTAATACGACCAAAGGCGTACCAAAAAAAAAAAGAAAACGACAATAAATAAAAAGTCATGCATTTAAGGGTTGATATAATCAATCGCGATAAACCGCCGATACCGAGATTTTCCTATAAGTCAATTCCACGCATTTTTGCCAATCGATCTATATACGCACAAAACCGCACAACTTCGAACACCCGGACGTATTATTTTGACCACCCTAAATTATATACACCTGCCCTTAAGCATAACACGCGACCTATCTACTCCTCCATTTTCCTATTTTCACCCCCACGTACAAATTACAAGGCGACGTGATTATTCCTTGACAAATCGCGATAAGTTAACGAAATAAAAACAATGATTCCTAGGATTCCCGAGAGGGCTAACGATCCAAAGTAACAACGACGGCGACGATAACCGTACCCATACCGGTAATTACCAGAAGTCATAGATTATAGATAATGGCAATCGCATTAACGACGAACACACATATATATATATAGCTAATATATAAACGCACTCTCCTTAATACATTATATATATATAGAATATCTCTCTGATTTCCCGTCCCCCTTACTTTCACCCGAAATTATGCTAATAGTTCTCACTCATTCGCATACACGTTCCTGAGTTAGTTTATTCTAATTCTTCCCTCGATAAGGGAGGGAGGGGGGGGGGTATTGTCAATTGTGGGCCGGATTGTTAAGTGACAAATCTCGAGTTGCCCGACGCGGAAATTCAAAGTTAAAAAAACAAGGGAGATAACATGGGGCCTCTTTATCGACGCGCGCGGCGCCGCCTCGCGGGTAAAAATCTAACTACGGCGTGGCGCGCCTTTTTAAATAAAGTCTGTATACTTCAGCCTACTTTTCGGAAATTCGAGCACTGAATCGGTCGATCCCTTTCGTCGTCTCTAGGCTTACTACGTGCTCCCGAATTACGCGGGGAAAGTAAAGGCTAAAGAGATAAAACTTCGCATTTGATCAGGGGCGCCACTTGACGGCAAAGCCGGGAACTTGCCGTTCCTTATATTATTACTTTTTTTTTTGTATATATCTTTTTACGCTAAACCTACTCGATGACGGTTAACCGTTAAACGCCCCTCCGATACTGTCTACCTTTTTTTCCCCTCGATCACTAAAACCGTGTACCCCGAAATTCTCTTTCTCCCGGTCGGTCGCCTTTGCCAGCAAAGGGGAACCCGTTTTATCGGCGTGAAAAAAGTGAGATAAAAAAATAAACGTCTCCTAGGTCGGAAACCCGAAAGGCTCCTTCTACGTCTCTCGATAGTCTGCGGCGAGAAAGCGTCCTTGGTCGTGTACCATTCGCGCGGTGCGCTCGAAGATACCGGGTGAGATCGCCAGATTTACCGACTGCCGGTTAAGTACTAAAATTTAGCAGGCAAAGTCAAGCCCGAAGGCACCGTCGCTCGAGACGTCGAAATTCTGTGAGTGGAAAGGAAAAGAAAAAAAAAAAAAATCTAACGAAATCGCGCGCACTTCTTGCAGCCCGTGAAAGCCTCGAGAGGGGAATTCCTGAACACGCGAGTCCTGAAATCCTCACGGGTCTCGGCTTCCCAAACGAAGAGAAAAAAAGAAATAATAATAGCGTTTCATTTGTTCGCTCGGCAGAGGGACTCGTTACTCGAGTCGAATTACACTAGTTATGGTACACACTATAACCGGGTATAAAGGGTGGAGAAATCAAGAGCAGTGATTACGTAAACGTACTAGGTAGAAAGAGATTGTACAACGGGCATGCTGCTACTTCTACCATACACATCCACAGGGAAAGAAGAGCGAGAGTAAAAAAAAAGGGGGAAAATCGAGTCGATTGTTCCCCCCTCGTTAAGGATTTCCACGAAGTTAGCACTTGCTCGACGCGCTCGAGGATCCGACCCCCTCTCCTTCCGACATTTATTAATGGCAGTCATTCGTCGGGATTAAAGGAAAGGAAGAAGCGATCGTCCCTTTCCTCGAGCGTCCGTCGATTACACGTTCCGTGCCACGTGTACCACCGATAAGTACGCGTTAACCTCGGCAGATACACGGCATGGCACGGAACGTGTTAAACGTATCTGTACATTTCGTGCCGTTGGTACACGTTATCACTAAAAACGGACCGACTGGCCGTTAAACGTCATCGCCAGTAAACGATAAGCAAACAACGAAGTACGTACGTATCACTCGGCGCGCGATGTTGGGGGTCGAGCTTTCCGAGCTTCCCGCCGACGCGCACAGAGGCCGACACGGTCGGATATCACGTGACGGCTCCAAAGATGGCGGCCGAGCAAGTGCTTTCGGATCGCAGACTCCGTTACGCGGTTCCCCGAAGGTCGCTCGTTACGCAAATTCACAGGTCGTGTTTTTTTTCTTTTTCAATGAATGACAAGAGACCACCCGATCTCAAGGTCCTGAGATTTTCTTAACCATCTAGCTACGGAGCTGTAACGCCTGTACGGATATGCAGCTGTGCCACGAAGTGAGCGAATCACTGGGGGGTACATTTATATGCCGAGAGTGCTCGCTTCTCGCACATTCGTCTCACGTGAGTTTCTTCACCCGATAGTGTACCCTCCCAGTGAAAATAGAAAATCTTTAGACCGAAAGTGTGGTGGAAGAGATTTTCAGCGTGAGTTGAATTTATACCTCAGAACGTAAATACGGACGAAGAATGATAAAAAGTTGTAAGTTCCATACGCAACACACTAAAGTTCCCGGTAGTTGCATTTAATATCTAAACGGGAGAAACCACAACAATGGCGCTTCGTAGCTAAAGGGTTAAACCTCGTATCATCGCGTTTTCTCCCGGACGAGCATTCCGCGTCTCAAGGAACCGCGCGACGACTCTTCCGGAAGTAGTCGAGTGGTGAGAGGGTAGGAAAAATGTCTACGCTACGGCAACGCTACGTTCCTACAGAGAGTGTCGCAGCTACTCGGGAGGAGGGGGCGGCGGCGGGGAGTTCGGCGGAGGCCCGCTAGGGAGCGGCGGTGGCGGCGGCGGGCTCCTCGAAACCTCCGGCCCGCCGCCAGAAGCCCTCTCGGAGGCCCTCTCGGGAGCCCTCTCGGAGGCCCTGTCGGCGGGCTGCCTGCGCAGGCTCCCGGGTAGCGTGGGCGGCGGCACGGAGGTGTCGATGGCACCCTCCGCGGTCATGATCACGTTGCCGGCCGGGTACATGTGGTACGGTTGTTGCTGCTGGTACTGCCGGTAATACAGCGCGGGGTCGTACATGTACCCGGTCGCGCTGAACATGGCGGCCGGCGCGACGAAATTGGCGAAGTAGTACGAGTCGGCGACCGGCGATTGGCCGAGGTGCCGCGCGTAATGGCTGCCAGTGTTGTCGCGCGTCGCCGCAGAGTGGCGGCCCTGTCCCGGGGGATTCCTAGGGTTTCCGTGTCCACCGTTATAGGGCTCCTGCTCGTGACCGACCGAGCGCTGCTGGTAGTACGCAGGCCCGTCTCTGATCGGCTGACCGTAGGGCGGGCCACGCGCGGAATAGTGGCGCCCCCCTCTCCCGCCTCCACGTACCTTGTTATTGCTGTTCGAACTATAATGCCGACCGTTTTGCCTTTCCCCTGGCCGTTGCTGCTGCTGCGGTTGCTGCTGCTGCTGCTGCGCCAGTTGCTGCTGCAGCTGGCCGACGGTGCTGCTCTGCTCCCGCTTTTTATTCGGCGGCCCGGCCATCGTCGGGCTGCTGCTCTCCCTCTCTCGTTTCCTACTGTCCGACGTCGAGAACTCGAGCCCCGTGCCCCCGGTCGCCGCACCGCCCCGCGAGATGACGTCCGTGCGGATCTTGATCTTGAGCGGTGCCTGCATGACCGGCTGCGCCGGCGACCCGTCCGTGCCCTTTAACCTCTCCTTCGGTATCTTGATCTTCAAGCCGGTGTTCTGGTTCCCGGGCGATTTACTGGTCTTGTCCCCGTGGCCCGCCAGACTCGTCGCCAGCGGCTCCGGCGCCAGGTTCAACTTGTCCTTTGGTATGGTGATTTTGATAGGCACTGCCGGCGCGCCTTCCTCCTTCTCCTTCTCCTTGTCCTTCTCCTTCTCCCTCTCTCTGTGTTTCTCCTTGTCCTTGTCTTTATGCTTGTGCTTGTGCTTCTCCTTGTTCTTCTCCTTGTCCTTCTCCTTGTGCTTGTGCTTCTTCTTCTCCTTCTTCTTCTCGCTCTTGTGGTGCGAGTCGGCCTTCTTCTCCTCGGCGGAAGGTCCACCGGTCGTGGAAGAGGTAGTTACCGAAGCAGTCATCGCGTCGGTTGCTCCTTGGAGTGGTGCCGACAAGACGCTGATGTCCACCGTAGAAGCTACAGTAGGCTCTCTAGAAGAAGGTGGAGGCTGTATGTGCATCTGCGTCTGCGTCTGCATTTGCATTTGCATCTGCATTTGCATTTGCATTTGCACACTCTGCTCTTGCTGGATCTGCTGCTGCAGCTGCTGCTGGGACTCCTGGTGTGAGGGTTGTTGCGGAGGCTGACTGAACTGTTGCGGCTGCTGCATGCCTTGAAGAAGCGAGGGTATCGGGGCCAGAGGTTCCTGTAGGAGAGCACTGATACTTTGCGCGGACTTCAGTTTGGGTTTAACAGGAAATTCGATTTTCATCTCAGGAGCTGTAGAGAAGCTCTCCAGCGTGGGCCAGGAAGACTCCTGTTTCATCCGCACCTCTTGGGACTCGGGCTTTATCCTGATCTCAGGAGTCTCCGGCTTTATTCGAATGTCCGGGCACTCTTGCTTAACGGATTGATCCAATCCATTCGTCAGGGGATGCTGGTGTTGCACTATGCTCGAGGAGCAACTCTGAGCTGTAATGGGCTCCGGCTCGAAGGGCTTAATCAGTTCCGGGGGTTTTAGGTCATTTGCCACGGAGGACCCCCTTCCGTTGGAGGTAGCAGGGTTGTCCCTGATAGGTTGAATCAACTCCGGTACCCTGCCCAACATCTTGATGGGCTCGAAGCCCGAAGGGATGTCGTCTACCTTGACCTTCACCGCGACCTCGCTCTCTCCGGAGCTGGTGGTGCGATGTCTCTTATGACCCGAAGGGGTCACATCGTTGGTCATTCGTTTAATCGAGTCTTGAAGACCCGGAGGAGGGCTGGCGAAAGGTGTCATACCGAGGCCACCGAGGGCCGACTCCTGGGGCTTCTCTTGCTTAGGAACTTTAGCTGCAGGTGGCGTCTTCTGCTTAGACTTCGACCTCTGCGAATGGGAGGACTCCCTCATTACGACCAAGGGTCCTTTGTCGGGGCAGAAGAGGGATTTGTGCCGACTTGGAGGAGTCGGTTGCGAAGTCTGCTGCGAGACCCTCTCGGAGTCTTCGTGTCGAGGCCTCTTCTCGGCTTTCGGGTCGTCGACGTTGTTCAACGACGCCGAGGACCCGGAGGGGTTCCCGTTCTTTATCGTGTCCTTCAGGATCTGTGAGACTCCGTGGGCGGAATGCTGGCTCGTGGAGATCTTCTGCAGGGGAAGCCTCGACAGCAGGACCGTGGGTGACTTCTCCTTGCAGAACGAGGTGGGGCCTGCGGAACCGACCTTCGGCTCCCCCGGCACCGAACCGGCGACCCCGGTCTGCTTTTCCGACTGGCTCATCTTGGAATGGTGCGACTGCTTCAGCATGTTCACCATGTACTCCTCTTTCTGCACCTCTGGCCGAGGTTTCGGGGGCGGTAGAGGCTTCTCGATGAGCTTCCTGACCTCCTCGCTCCTCTGCTCGAGACTGTCCACCGGTTTGCGCGGGTTCCGCTCCATCCTCGAGGGCTCCGAGTACTTCCCGTAGAGTTTCTGCTCGCCCTCCTTCCTGTGCTCCAGAGGCTTGTGCCTCGACGCCAGGTCGTAGGGCCTCTTCTCGTGCGGCTGGTGCTTGCACTCGGCATTACTCAGTCTGTGCATGCTGTGGTTGTTATTGCTAAGCTTCTCCTGAGGGGCGACCACCAGTTCCTGGCTCTGTCCAGAGTCGGACTTGATGCTCAGCGAGTCGTTCGAACATGGCTCCGGCATGACATCCACTTTCGGCTGGTGGACCCCGGAATGACTCGAGTGAGAATACACGGTACCACCGCTGGTGCCGCTACTCGAATTGAAGTCCCTGGTAGTCCTGGGTCGATTCGGATCCCTGTTGGGGTCCCTGCTGGGATCCCTGTTAGGATCCCTTTGCTGACCCCCTCCGGAGTGCCTCTGCGTCACCGCCTGACCCATCTTCAGCTCTGGTCGGTGATGATGATTGTGATGCGGTGCCGACTTCTGGCCGGTCGAACCCGGATGCTTGTTCGCCACCCCTACGACCGTTTTGTGGTGATGCGAGTGATGCTTCGCGGGTTCCTGAGGATGAGGCTGCACCGTCGCGGCAGTCACACCGGCAGCTTTTTCCCTCTCGAGGCGTTCCCTCTCCTTCTTCTCGCGGTACTCCCGGTAGTCCACCGGAGGCCTTGGCACCGAAGAGGAAGCCTTCTTCTCGTCCTGCTTGTCCATGTGGTGGGGACGGCTCGACTGAAACATCAGAGCCCCATCGGTGACAGCGGCCGGCGATTGAACTTTCCTCGGTTCTGCGTCCTGAAATCAAACGTGCCATTAGAAGTATTAGGTTGTTAGCCTCCTTGGGACCGGAAACATTCCATCGTTGAAAGGATTCTTACGAAGGGTGAGTTTGGCAGGCTTGGATGGCTGATACTAGGGCTCTGGTTCGCAGATATACTCATGATTTTCCTCTTGAGCCTCGAAGGGCATTTGTCGAATATGTGGAGGAATTCTGCGGTGAGCTGTTGCAACTGCTCCGCAGTCACTGTTCGGTCGACGTACCAGAACCATTGCTTCCCTTCGTTGCTCTGCGGTATCTGTAAGTAATCGATCTCTCGAGGTCGATTCTTTCAGCGTTTCGACTACGTAATACGACAAAAGTAAACGTCCAAGTTATACAGATCTCGTTTTAATATTCAAATGTCCTACTTTAAAGCATTATTCTCGATACTGTTAATACTGAAGTTTGTTAGTACTTATGACATTGTCAATAGTTACCAGGGTATGTAAAAATCGATTCATTTGATTTATAATCAGTTTTCGGTTTGAAGTTCAATTTGAATGTTAATATTCCATCTCTAGAGTTCGTTTATTCTAGTGCCAAAGCCTATAAAGTAAAAGAGAGATTTTAGCATTAAAACATTCTTAACAAAGCTATTCGTATGATTATCTTTTTCTCCGATATCAATGTCATCTTTTCTCTAGCGAAAGATAAAAGCAGCATTCTTTTTGTGGGTTTTCTAACACTGGAACGTGACGGGAAAAAAAAATGATTTACTCGATTTATATTCGATTAAACTATCGCGTTATTTGTTATTATTATTATTGCCGTTGTTATTGTTATTATTATTACGATCGTTTTATAATTACTTTATATCGAACCAATACTGAAAAAATTATCAGGCGAACTAAATCATACTATATACAAGTTTTATGTAATATAGGTCCATACTTGTTACGATGTCTACCTGAGCGATTACGACAAAATATGCTTACCTCCCAATTGGACCATTTGCAGGCTAGGTGAATGCAGAAGCAAGCAACTACTGTAGGTTTATACTGCAGACACATCGTCGTTAAGTGTAAACTGAAAGAAAATACATATCGGTCAATATTACTTACTACATAGTCATAACAAGTTATTCAAAGAAATGAAAATTTGAGAAAGATTAATGATAACGATAAAATGCTTCAAATTAAAATATCGTCAAATTGGGTCCACACATACGAATCTCCTTCTAGTAACTATGTACCCGAATTTGGAAAACAGAACATTTATAGAAAATAGTGTTCGATGTAACAGGAAATCGCTGGACAGCTCACATCGTTCTTGCTCAATGGAAGGTTTTACTGTTCTATGAATTCGGTTAATACATATTTTAAACTGGTAAGTAAATGAGAAAGTTATTGAAAAAGACGTGTCAAAAAAGACTCGACTCTTTGACGGACCTAGCACTGGATTGCTAGTGAGATATACATTTATATACATACTATATATGTATATACATATATAAATCCTTTGCTCTGGCAGCTATTCAACTTAGACTGCTAAGATGTAACAATGATACTAGGAAATAATGTGTAGCCACCTGTTTGATGCCATGAAGTACGAAGTCTGGGCTAAGTCCTTGCTCGCTGCAATTAAATAAAAAGCAATACAGTCATACTGATTTGACTGCACACTACACATTGATTTTAATATTTCATAGAATTCTTTCGTCTGCTTACCTTTAACCAGGTGACAACACCTGACAACGTGTGTGTGGGGATGATCGATGGCTACGTCAAACCCCAAAGTTTGCAGCAAGACATTCTCATTGAATACCAAGTCTTGAGCTTGTTCGAGGTATTGCTAGGGACAAAAGTTAAACTTTGAGAATATAATGACATCCAAAAAATATATTAATTTCTTTAATTATGAAGTATTAACAATATATTATCTAACATATAGGAGTTTCATGGCAAGATTCACTGAAGGAAAGTAACACTTTGGATTACCTCGGACTTGGGGTCAGGTGTTGTCTGGTCTCGGTGGAGGCACATGTGCGCCACCTTGATGACATGCTCCAGCTTCCGTGGTTGCTCCTCGACTTTTGCAGCGAGGAACAATGCAGCAGCTGCAATTGCATTCCTGTGGAACTGGGACAGCGAGTGGAATACGTAGAACCGATGCATGTACACTATCGCTGTGTTGATGCACAGCTGGGATCTAATATTTATTAGTTAAGGAAACACCGTGTTCATAACAGTTATATAACTAAATAGTATAACAGCAACATATTTGACAATACCCGTCATGCTTAATTGATTTTCTCAAGTGAAGCTATCTTTATTGAAAACAATGTAATCATTTTTACGTAATCATTACAATACGTTTCATAATTTGGCACCATCCTTCTAAAATTTTAATTTCTTTCCCAAAAACACATCAATAAAAAAAAATAGTGTAAAAAAAATGAATACAAAAATATTATATTCTCCTTGTTTGGAGTGAAATAAGTAATATATCTTCTTCACACATTAAACGATGATTCATAGGCACTGATCAAATGCTTCAACCACTAGTCATATTGACCACAAGTCATGCAATGATACAGAAGCTGATTATAAAAAAAAAAAAAAAGAGTAATATTTAAATAAAAATAAAATAAAACAGAATTCCAACGTGAAATAAAATTATACAGCTCCTTTGCAGTTGGTTGAATACATGGTACAGACCAGAAAAATAGAAAGGACAAGATTTCATATGAAAACATAATTTATTTAATCTATATTAGAAATACATTTCTAATCATCTTTTCTTCTGAAAAAGTAGTCATTAAATACGATATGGAAATTATACTGTAAAGCTTGGACAGCAGCGCTTGTACACAAAGTCAATAGATCTTATCAAAGGTTTTTCCAAGAACCAGTGATCTCATTGATTTTTATCAAATCCAACATATTGTTATTCTATATCTACCTCTTGCCCCTCGCAGGATATATTTTCTTTGCGATAGGCACAAGGTCACAATTCCTTGTAATATTTCCATTTGCAAAAGAAACAACGTAAGTGAAAATTACATTTGGTTTCACAATCTCATGTAAAGAAATAACAGAACTTATATATTCTTGAATCACATTAAGCACAGCCTTCTTATTGAACGATCTACATTGTCCTGAAAAATCCAGATGCAATACAAGGACTTTCTACCCAGACACGTGACCTCATTTCTGCTTGTCCCACTTTTTTTCTGACTTGTGTTATTAAGGAACCTCTTTAGATTATAAAATTGCTTCATCCTACTAATTTTCAAAAAGTCGATAAATAAAAAACGAAGTTATCACCCAACCGAAAACCGACACCATTATTAAACGTCATTAAAATACTCCATTCATGCTCTTCAAATTCCAACTCTAAATACCAAAAAATCTTCGAATATATATAAGCAATTCTACATTTTAGCGATTACGCAAATACATCGGACAAAGCCATCAAAATTAGACAAACTCTAGTCAAAGTTCTCCCGATACCTCGAAACGATCGCATAAAATCCCAATGCCTCGTAGGCATCTGAATGCACTTCTGACTCGGAACGATAACGTCGTTTATAAAAAGAATATAAAGAAGCCATACCCCATTGAAATCCGAGCCAGTACTCGATCAAAACAGTGCTTCGTACCCTGCCCAAAGAGAATCTCCAAAAGCAACCAATATAAATCACCCAGATCAGTCATGAATCTCACCAGACACCAAAGAATCCCACCAAGGTGTAAATCCGAGGTTCGTAATCGTAGAGGAAGAGGTTTCCCTCGAGGCACGCGTGACCTCGCTTCTCGGCGTGTCTACTACGTCCCATCGCCGCGAACCAGGAAGTGCGTTTCCGCGCTCACCGACCTCGTCCCGACCGTTCCTCGCGCGATCACGGGTTAAGCTACGAATTACCAAGCCCATCCCCAGGGAGGGCCGACGCCTCTCGACGTTTTCGCAAAATCCTAGAACGCCCGAGGAGTCGCATCGTGGGCCTCGAAGGGTCGCGTTTCAGCTCGTTAAAAAGGATACACCACGAGTCGTTGTCCCATGTCTTGGATGAAATTGGCTGCCTGCTGCCGGTAGCTGAGCTCCTTGTCCGCGTCGATGCCGCATTTTCTGCTCGGCGTGTTCGCAAGCTGTTCCTTCGTAAAGTACCATTTTTCGTCAGCCGCCATTTATATATAAATCTGTGTACACGGCGGTACTCGGGTGGCACTTCACGGCGGTGGGAAGGAACGTCGGTCGCCGACGCCGCGACGCGCACTCCGAGCGTCAACTCGACCGGTCTAACCAAGCTTGCTTCGACCGAGCTTAGCGACGCCGACCGCTAGGTGGTGCCCCGGGTCCAAGATGGCGGCCACCTCGACCAATCGCCTGCCTTGGCCGCGCCGACTCACCGGAACTCGACCAATGGGCAGCGACCGTCTCACGGTCCTCTAGTCTGCTCCGTCGATAAGACCGCCTGCTTCATTTTTCAACCAGCTTCGCCATTTTGAATCGATTCCAAACCTATCAAACTGAACGGACAGCGGGAGATTTAACCCGTCACAGCGGGTGTTATCGATCATGGAACGATCTAGATATTACGTTGCGATCATTTACACAATCCTTGTATAATTAATGTTAAGCGATGGTTCGGGAGGTTGACTAAACGTTGAAATAAATTCTACATAATAGGTCGTACTTCGTACGTATTATTCTTTCAATAAAAATCTTGTAAGAAGCGATGATTCGAGACTAATACACATGTAACATCTAAGCTTCCGAGTGATACATCCATTAGAATGCGACAACTTTGAAACTGCATTTATTACATAGAAAATGTATGAAGCCAAGTAGGAAAGCACTGTTCCATACAAAAATATATTCTAATTAACCATCGCGCTCCATCGCTTATTAACTCCTAAACGAGTTAACTAAATAATTGAGACTACCGTTACGCTCTCCTCTCGCAAACGCTCGATCACTCGGAGGGTCGTTAAGCTAACTCAAACTCTACGTCTCTGAAGTTAGCTTCGAAAAAAATACCCCTTCTACCCCCCGCGCATCAAACCAATAAAAACATATTACTCAACGAGTTAAAATCTCGAGGAAATTCATTTTCCTTCAAAAATCGCGCAGGTTCTCACCGAAGCATGACTCGCGTGTTCCTTACAAAGCAGCTTCGAATATCCGGACGTGACGTCAAGGAGCGTACGGCACATGCGAGCGCGGAGAGGGTCACGTGACAGGTTAGCGCAAACCGACGCGCTCGGATCCGACGCGACCGTGCCACCTACATAAGCCCCGAGCGAACCACTATTCGCATCACGTGACGCGGGTGCGTCTGCGCGCGAACGGTCTACACTGTTGCGCATGCGTTGTGTGCGGGTCACGTGACCAAGCCGACAAGCAAAACGCGGGGTGGCGCCACCTGAGGGAACGTGGACGAACCACTCGCTAGAGCCCAGTCGCACCTAGATAGTCAGATCGCGAGCGACGCGGAGACCACGGAACCTCACGGGCTGCTGGAGGCGACTTTTAGAGCGCCAGTATCCTCGATAATGAGTCGCGCCACGAGGCCGAGCACTTCGCGCGCCACTGAGCGGCACCAGAGGCGATCGCGCGAATTCTACGAGGTCGTTGGCGCCGTCTGACACGGGACTCGCGTCTACGGCACTTTCTCCTCTGCGCTCCCCGAGAGGGCCTCTTTCGCGGCCAACGGTGGGTCGACCCGATTCGCCCGACTCTTCCCTATCCTCGCCGTTTATAACCGTGCCCTCGGGACGTTCGCGGCTCCGGTCTCGAGCGATTTTACGCCGCGATACGGGCTCATTATTGCGAGATTCGTACATACATTATGGACCCTCGTGCAGACCTCGCGCACAAAATGGCGACCGCCTACACTGCGCGTGTCGGAATCTCTGTTCGTGTCGAGTCGAACTTTTTCAATACTCGTACTTCCACGTTCATAATAACTCATATATTATTTAAAGATTTTTAGTATCTCATTTGGAATGTTTTTCGAGGGGTTTTGGATTTTTCGCGGTAACTTTAATGTGTTATTTGATGCCTTTGGTAGGTTACCATTTGGACTGCTGGAACGATCTTCCGGCACTCAAGGACGCGCGCGGAATTTGAATTGAACGTCTCAATTACGCGGTAACGTTATTTATATGCTTATTGCGTAAGATTACAGAAATCTATAGAAGTACAAGGACGGTGTTGACAATCAAATGTTTAAATATCGGTTTTAATTGAATTTAGAGTTTAATATTTTTCTTATTATAAAGGATATGCTCTTTTGAGTTTGGAATTCTTGAGCTCATATGATTGGATTGTTTTAGGAGAGTTATGTTTCGAGTTCCAAAAACAATGCCTTCGACTGCTCCTACAACCACTTTGAAACAACCACCAAAGGAATCTCATACCTGCATGTATTCGTCGTATGAATGTTCGCAACCTATCTTGGAAGGATACTCATATTGCGCAAGACACATCTTGGAAGATTCTTCCGCTCCCTTCAAGCCTTGCAGTTTTGTTTATAATACAAATGGAAGGAAATGTCAGAGTCCTGCACCAAAACTTGATAGGAGAGACTTGGCGTAAGAACAGTAATAATTAAATTAATAATGAAATAAGAAACAATAGTTACAATTATTTTCGCTATTTAAGTATACTGGTAATAAAGGATAAAAGTACCGATAATAGATACGTTAAATTAATTATTCGTTTTTGTAGCTTAATTGATATTTTATCTTATTTCTAACTTAATATCAAAATGTTCAATCAAAAACTTTTACTATCAGAAAACTTAAATTCAGACAACTCTTTAAAAATGTTAATATTCAATACTAGATATTGCCCAGAACATACAAGGAAAGCTCAACTAGCTCGGATCAAGTCAACGTCAAGGCATTCCTTGCCTCAAACACCAGAAATGCTTTTATTAAATCTAAGCCACTATGTAAAACCCACGGATTCAAGTGCCGAAGATACTGAAGATGATGAGAACAAAATCAGAGCATTGGATCCTTTTAGTAAGCTTATTTTAATGTTAGAAGCAGATTAACATTACTTTAGATTGAACATTACCTATTCCTTTTTCTAAACATCATTTGATGGGTGACGAAGATTTTCTTGGCTAATTAACTAGCCAAAAAGTTTAATGCTTTACATTATGTCGATGGAACACCACCCCCTGAATGTTTTCAGTTCTAGATATTAAAGAATCGAATCATTTTTTTTTTACAGCTGAGATCGATGCATTCAGAGTCAATGCAAGTGGTTGCGATGTATTGGATTATGCAAGCTCTTCAGACAGTGACATCGAACCTACAGTGGTGAATGATACATTGAGAGGAACATTTTTAGATGACAGTGACAACGAAAGTTTGCATAGTGCTCAAGATGATCCATTGAAGTACGTGGCAGTTCCCATTCATGATGGATGCTTCATTTTCACAAACTTTTTTTATTATTTGCAGGATATATTATATATAATATTTGATAGCCATTTAAGCTTTGATAATTGAACCTGTTTTTCAGATCTTGATCTTTTGTAGAATATCATGCTAGATTGCTTCAGCTTGCGCAGCTTGTTCAAGTAGTCATCAACTTACTAGGACTGTCTCTAACATATTAATCACGTGACAATTTTCATTAAACTACCATTTATGAGATATTGCAATTTTTTTTCTGCTAATTTGTTATAGACATTTTCATAATGTTATAAGAACAAACATTTCTTAGTTTTGTACCATTTTGTTCAATTTCATTTATTTAAGAGTATTATATTCGTTAAGAAGCATTTCCAGGTTTTACTTCAGTCCTTCATGGACTATGCTAAGTAGTTGCTTTTAGCATATGATTAGACACTATCTACCTATTGAATTATTAGTATTCACTTTTTAAGGCACGCTGGAATCTTCACTGCTGAAGAGGTAATATACATTGCCCGAGAGAAACTCATTCGTTTGCAATCCCTGTATATCGACCAATTTCGAAGGCTACAATATCTACTCAAAGAGAAGAGACGAAAGTACCTTCATGCCCTAAAAAAAGAAAAGGAAACTTTATGTAGGTTTAGAAAGTTTCATCTTCGTGTTTTAAATTAATAACTCTTGAATAAAGTGTAGGATGAGTTTAGCACTCTTCCACATGTTCTATTAATTTTTTTGTTCATCTTACACACAATTTTTCTTTTCCAGGTAGTATACATGACCAACCAAAGGAAACAGCAAAAGAAAAAAAACTTTATGAAAAGCTAAAGGCTTTAAATAGTTATCACAGACGGAGCGGAGTCGAAGCAGTGCTTTATCGAAAATCGCTAGAAAGACGAGCACAGGTACTACACTTCCTGAACTTAAAAAAAAAAAAAAATACGTCGACACTTTAATCTAATTTATATTACAGATTTTATAACATGGTTTTAATTTATAGGCAAGTGATGGGCCAGCTCAAAAACCACCCAGTGTCCCAAAGTGTATTTTTACCGAAGGTGGGGTGAAATGTGGTGAAAGGACTTTACCCTCTGCAAAGCACTGTCGAAAGCATATCCTCAAGGCAGGCAGATTTTTAAAAATATAAAATCGAAATTTGCATATTTAACTCATTTTGTTTTATGCCTTTCAAGCTAACAAAACTAAATATATTACTCTCTGATCAATTTAACACTAGAACTATCGGCGGATTTTTTTGGCTGTGGTGGGCAATTTGAAACCAGTCATTCTGACGAAATTCTAATGTTAAAGAATAATCCTACCAATTTTGTTTTAGGATCAAAATCAAGTGCTATTCAAAGCTTGCGGAGCAGTTCATGCAGACATTGAATGCCATGAACCAGTACCAGTAATCTTTGACTCTTACTGTGTTTACCACATGAATTTACCACCTCCACTGAAACTTGAAACCATGACAGTAGGTTAACAGTTATTTTATACAACTTGGCATGAAATTGCTGTCTTAAAGTTAAAGTTATGATTACAATAACAATTATTTTATTGATCCTAGTTTGAAGAACCCAAGCCAGTGGGCCAAGAAACGTCAGTGACCGATAGTCAATCAATGGAGATCGATGTCGTTGGCGAAGCACAAGAAATTGATCCAGATGATGATATGGCAGGACTTATGAGGGAAATGAACGATGCTGCAAAGAAACCAGCTCTTAATGAAAGTGTTAACAGTGAAGCCAGCACCGATACTGCTTTCAGTTTGTCTGCACAGATGAGTGACAAGGATGAGCTGGTGTCAGTGTAATGTGAAATAGTGTAAACTTTTTCAATTTTTAACAGTGATATGGATTTAATTAATTTAAGTGTTAAACAAAGGTCACAGTGATATTTAAATAAGATAATATTCAGATTTTTCAAGTAAGTCTGAATAATATCAACTTCAATTTGGCAGGGGATATGAAAACCATTTTTTTCTTGTCCGCTGCTATAATTATAGACTTAGACAAATAACGAAGAGAGACCAAAGATGGTGCAGGTAATATTCTTACAAACTAAACCTAAGCATTTAAAGTCTGTACTACTGAACTACATCTCATAAACAATATGTCAGACGTTTTCCTCAAAATGTATTTTTTTAGATCTCAAGTTATCGATACTGAACTTATTAAATGCATCACAATAATTATTTACAAGTTGGTGTCTAACTTAGCCGATTTAATGACCTACTTCTTAATATTAACTTGTCATTGAGTTTCTAAATACCGGTTTTACTATTCTTCCATCTTTATTAGAGTCTCAAGGTTTCTTCTCTATGTGCTAACCATATATTATAAGCAAATTTTCAAATCGCCTATATAGCAAAAGTAATCACATGGTTAATGATAGCTGCAAGTTCAAAATTCATATCCCCGTGCAATAACTGTTTTGCATTGTTCATTGGCCTTGCTGTGGTCCGCTGTGAGGCGCATCGATAAATCACTTGCTAGGCTATTGATTGTCTTAAAAAAAGTAAGAACTTGTTACTTGATGATGAGGATAAACGTTCCTTAAACACTGTATACATTGTTGTTCCATATTAGCCCAATTGTTTCCAGAGGACCAATTTTGGTTACACTCTTCACACTTGAAGTATCTATAAGTTCTGTTTATCCCTGATACGGAGTCTTAAAATCGCAGATTACTTTTATTTTCTTTAAAAAAAACCATTTCTCTCATCTTTTTCTTCTTCTTTTCGACCATTTTGAGACATTTCAATCAAACACCGGCAGAACTGAACAAACCAGAACTAGTACCCGCATTACAAAGAGGTTAGAATGATTACCAAATGAATTGACTGTCATATTTATAAAGATGCAAGAAAATGTATTTTCATATTTCATTATTACTAATGGAAATCGTTCTTTCATTTATTTAATAGAATTTGCTCCTTTTAATATTTAATTTTTAACTTCTAATTTTACAGGTGTCATATCATGCTAGTATTACGTGAATGTTTATCACCACACGTTTTAAACATAAAACTATGAAAATGCAATTTCAGAGCTTTTATGAAATTTGAAACGTAAACACAAACATGTTTTCACGTAATACCAATATGGTAAAACGCATGAATTTTGCGCGCTATTGTTCATATTGATGTTTTACATCCGTCATTTCCGGTCATTTCCACCATATTGGATTTCAGTTCCTACCACTTCCGAGACAGTATATAGATGGCGAGTCAATTTGAGGGTCCAACTCTAACACGGCAGTGTCCACCCTTGATTTGTCATTTGGGAGTTCCCCGGAATGGCCGGTACACCAGACAATTAAAAAAAACCGTTAATACGTACATATGCAGTGGTAATTCTGGTTTGTTCAGTTCTGCCGGCGTCTTACTAAACATCTCAAAATGACCACAAAGAAGGAGAAGAAGGAACAGGTGAAAGAAATTGTATTTTTATAAAAATAATAGAAGTGAACTGCGATTTTAACAAGTTCAACAGGTCATCTGAGCTGATATGTAGAATCGAAATTATTAATTATTGTCGTTATATTCTGGTAGACATCAAATTGTTAAAATAGAACTCTGGTTCAATGTTTTTATTTAGAAATGTGCATAAATAGTGAAACTAAGCATTTTTACAAATGTGTCTTGTAGAATTTGCAACATTCTAAGCTGCACTTATGTTTAGTAAATATTAGTTTATAATGGACATCAGTATTATTTATTTACGGTTTTCATTATTTACTAATGCTACTTCTACAGAAAGTTGCGAAAACAGAAGCTGGGACAGAGAAAAAAATGATCAAGGAGACAAAGAATCTGACTCCATATCAGGGATCAAAAAGAACTTTTGGAATGTTCAAATGTGAAAAATGTAATCGAACTTGGTCCTCTGGAAATAGTTGGGCTAATATGGGACAACAATGTATGCAGTGTTTAAAAAAAATTTATCCTCATCATCAGGTAATAAGTTATATTTTAAAAACAACCAATAACCAGTGATCTAACAATTAAATTTTATGAAATGCAGTTACTCGTGGCCAATAAGTGCACAAAATGAAACATTTTTTACAAGTATGTATACATGGTAAAAATTTATTGTTCCTTTAGTTGAATCATGTTCTTGGTTTTACCACCAGGGGATGTATTCAGCATTTCATTACTTTTATTCATTTAGTCGGGGTGGTTCCTAACTAATTCATATGATCATAAGTAGCCTTTGATTATATAAGTGTGGATTGTTAGTCATTTGTATGTTATTATGCATTGACAGCTCGAAAAGCAAGATCAACATGAACTGTGGTGCAAACTACATTTGGAATAATTTTATCTCTAACATTTCCATTAAAATTCAGAGCGATAAGATATCCCGAATATTATATCGAAAATAATTTTATTGAGGAGCTGTGGAATCTTACTTCTAACTGTTATTCCACATATTCTTAATTCAATTATATTTTGAAATTCACTTCAAAGCTTTGCATTGCACGGAGTGAAAGTTAGTTATTTATAAATAAGGTATCACTTGATCTGATATGATCAGTTAATCCCTTACCTTAAAAAAGAATGTTTGCATTTTTCTTTCTATTTTTACGGTGATATTTTGTGCTATGACAGCTTTTAATCAAGCAGTAGCGGTCCATTTCCCTTAATTAAGCGCAAATCTATTTTGTTGAGAATTTAAATTAGAACTCCGGGGTATAGCAAATAGTTAGTTCCTGGTCCATGATGGGGCTGATATCCTAGCAACCTGTGTGAATTTGAAAACTAGCAGTCCATACTTTTATAGTCAAAGTAAGTAGTTATTTACTAGATGCATGGAACATGTTATGTAGCAAATAGAGGATTATACATGGTTCTTATTATCCAAAGAGTTTATAAATGTTTATAAATAAATTGGGAAATAATTACATATTCATGTTTATAGGATAAATGATCAAATCTTATCTAAACTTATTAAAAACAAATTGCTATCATTTGTACTCCTTTTGTGCTTGTTATGTTTTTTTTCCTTTAATCCTTTCTAGTTGGAATATTCTTAGTAATTGTATCAATATTACGAAATGTAGTTTAATTGATTTTAATTTGCCCTATATGGAATTACAATTGTTTGAAGTAATACGTGGTGAATGAATTGAATGGACTAATAGCATGTTTGTAGTTCTCTTAATCAATGGTAAAGGGTAAATAGCTAATTACAACTTTTGATTGACATTGTCAAATGCATGAGCTGTACGATATGATTTACTCTAAATAGAATTTTTTTGTAAGTGTTTATATAGTTTATTTCTTAGACTTGAAATTTTCAGCGTAAACCGATAAAAAACAAAGCAAAAGTTGAGATTGGAAAAAGACATCTTGAAGAGTTTTGTGACATGTGCAAAAATTTGGGGCATTCTTGTGTGAACATTAAACGAATCCACAAGGCTGGTAATGAGAAATAAATTTTTGGTGTCAATTCGTATGTTACAATAAACAAAGATGAGATTTTTATATTATCACAGAGTATATTTTTGTCCATTTCAATATTGCTTAGTTCATATATGTATGTTATAACGAAATAATTGTATTTGAGATATAAACCATTTGTAAAGAAGAAATACGTATGAACCAATGTTTATTACTTTTTCTTTAAGGCTTTAGTAACCGTACCCAAAAAGTCGTGAATGATCTTTACTCCACTTGCATGAAATATGTGAAGCTTGATAGATTCTGACGATTCCTATAGATGGCAATAAAGAATCAATAAAAATTCATTCAGTGTACTATAAGTAAACTGTTCACATGAACCTTCAAAGACAATGTTAGAGCTTGGCTTTAGATTGGTATGTAGAAAGAAGTAGTTGCAATATTCAATTTGTTTAGTTAACATAACAGTTTCAGAGAATGTTGCATGAAGAACAGCGATTAAACAAGTTAAAAAAACGTACAAAAGAAAACAAATTCCAAACTATTTGGAGATAGAAACCCAGATTTTCTTTATTAAAGACAATAAACTTATATAGGTTTTACGCAATGCTGCTTGCATTTGATGCAATCCTTGGCCATAAATCTGCACATTCTTTTGCAACAGGACCTGTTATTGCTGAACCTTTCATTTCACCTTTATTATTGACAATTACGCCAGCATTGTCTTCAAAATATATAAAGACACCGTCCTTCCTTCGAAATGGCTTGCGCTGGCGTATAATGACTGCTGGCATCACTGTTAACATAAATTATTTATTTTAAATTCTTCGGGAATATTAATGAAAATGAATTACAGTGAAAGTTAATGTAAATGTACAAAAACTATAATATTAATGTCAATACGGTCAGTTGTTTCACAATTAGAAATTCAAGGATAACCAATGAAATGGTGATGAAGATTCCATTTAAACGACAGGAGAAACGAGATGTTACTTTTACTGGGTAGGATGAGGTTAATTGCCATCAAATATCAACTATATCAGTGCATAGGCAGAGAAATTAAATGCTTCTTCCTGCAGTGGCAATAAATCGCATTAACCTTCGAGTTAAAAACGTCCTTCCCTTTGTACAACAGTATCACATATACCAAGTGTCACGAACATCTTACCCTTTTTTCTAAGTTCAGGCTTTCCCTTCTTAACGGTGGCAACAATCATATCACCTGATCCAGCAGCTGGTAAGCGATTTAGTCGCCCCTTGATTCCTTGCACCGCAATTACATACAGATTTTTGGCCCCTGTGCAGAAAAATTTATGAAAATTATCCTCAGATAAAAAAATCCAGTGCCAGTAACTAAAACTGATTAAATGCTCAGTTTCAAGTTTAATACTATTTTCTCTGCCCTTTTGAAATTAAACAGGCACAAATTAATAAACAATACTGAATCATGTTCATTTTAAAATAGTGGCAATCGCACAACTCTCAACTATTGAGGCACGCCATTCTATTACGGAGTATGGGAAACGCGGTCAATACAGTTTGTGCAAACCTATGAATCAATCGACATCAAAACCAAAAAACCATAAACCGCATAGTAATAAACGACACTGAAAGACGTTCTACTTGAAAAAAGCTCAATGTCACGGAATGTTTTCTACTAAAGCATATGCTGATTTCGTGAATCTTTGAGGTTAGGCCCAGAGAAATAGGAGATCAATCAGGTGTACTCACCGGTATTATCGGCGCAATTGATGACAGCTCCGACCGGCAAACCCAGAGATATCCTAAATTTGGCTCCCGCCGAACCACCACGTCCTTAAATACCAAAAATTGGGATTAAATATCCATAAAACAAACCATCGTGCGTGGCAGTTTATCATAACTTTCGCCGTCTTTTTTAACAGAATTTTTCATTCCATCGTCGAGCGTATACATTTCGCTTCCGATTGTTTCCACGAACTTTCATGGGGGGCGATTATTCTTACAATTAATACGGATTAGATTCACATTCCCAATGGGCTTACCTCGCTTCGACATATTGGGGTGTTTGAAAAAGAAACTCTTCAACAATCACGGCGCACCTTGTAAGCGCAGATCTGTCTAATAACGTTTTCAGCGGGGCTCCGCTGAGCCGCACTGGTGTAAAATAGCATCACTAAACGTGTTCGACTGGTCCATCGGCATTTAGATATGGACCGCTGACTCTATGGCGAAAAAACGTGGACGGTAAAAGAGAGAGAAAAATGATGTGGGTGGGCAGCGTTTCTCTTTCTAGCCAAAGCTGATTGATCACGAATATCCTGCTCATCTCTGCGAATATCTAAATGTCTATGGACCGGTCAGTGCAGTAAGAGGTATAAGAGTCGCCACGGCCCCTACTTCGTAACCATTGCACGGTGCTGCCCTCTCGGTAGCTGAAACGGTACGTCGGTAAACGTAGAGTTCAGTCAGGTGTGGTAGAACTAGAGTTCTAAATCCAGTAAGTTACGTCAGAAACGAAGAGAAATTCCCGGTAACTTATCGGTAATTTCTCCAAAGCCTATTTTATCGAGAAATTATGAGAATTTGAATTTTTCAACAGAGCGGACGAGAGGTTTCGATTAGCTATAGAGAAACATCGTAGAGGGGAAATTCCGTTGTACGTTCTCCGTAGCCAATCAAAACCTCCCATTCGCTTCTTCGCAGAATGAAATATCAGTTCCTTTGAAACAAATCGCATGGAATTTTCCGTGAAGTTGTACATACGTGAATATTTTTAGCCGGAGGTAAATACGACCCTATAATCAATATTTTCTAATAGTAATTATTACTCTTTAGCTTGAACTTTGAAGTTGATTGAAAAAAAAAAAAAAGTTATTTAAACGAAGAAACCTAAAGTATAAATAACAAAATTAACGTTCTCTTAAATTCTCAATGTTCCCGGTAACTTACGGTATGTTTCACAGTTACCTTCTCCAATTTAATGTTACCGAGAATTTTCGAACTCTAGGTAGAACTAGCATAGAGCCGAGAAACACTTACCCACTGACATTTACAAATGGAAAGTCGTCACACACTAGATAAAATCATCCTCTGAAATATCAACTAGCGCTGTAATTCAACGATAATTTAAAAATTACGCCATAATTAGAATTACTAACTGAGAAATATTATTTATAACGTTTTTTCAGAACCTCATAGCTTGCTTGTCCGTTTGACGCCAATAAATCAACACCTTTGTGGTGTCAGGATAGCAGTAAAAAATCAATTTCACCCTTGTTTTATGATGAGTTAAATGTTTCTTTATTATTCCGGCGCTGTTGTTAAAGAAAAATCAAACATTCTCCGAAAGATCTAATTATCAAATTATGTCTCTTGTTGATCCTTATCTTTCAAGGTTTTTAGTTGGCAACTTAGAGATTGCAGAAGTGTTGCTTTCACGCGTGTGCAAATCTACGTATAGCTTTGAAAAGTTGCACAAGTATTTTGTCATTATGTGAATCGCAAGAGATCTTGAGGATGTTAAGAAATGTACAAAATTCTTTTGGGAAACGTTCTCTTGTCCTCGCGTGTGTACAATTAATGTCATTACGAATAGTCTCTTTAAAATGCACGCTCACTTCCTAGAAACCACGGATCGTTCTCGAGAAAAGGAAACCGAATGAAACAATTAGCGTTTAAATTGTACAAGTACAAAATTCTCTGAACGAAAATACACGATCACTCGCCTTGCAACAATACTTCGGTTAAACTATTTGTACAATAAACGTCATTCCCTGAGGGAATATCTTAATAAAAGCAACGAATCGTCTCGTGTCTGAGCACGTACAAAATTCCTCCGGCGAAAATGTATATTTACAGTGTAATAAAAATATAAAGCATGGCTGATGGAAATTATGGACCTCGTTATAAAAGTATCATCGAGACGGGAAAATTCTGAATAAATACGATTATTTTCTGTTAGCCCATAGGAAATTCTCTAAAAGAAAAAAAATATATATATACATATATTCTGTCTACATCATCTGTTCTAATGTCGCCAAAATGCACGTTCCTTTGATGGAAACTGTAGAATGTCCTCGGAAAGAGGAAACTACATAAAATAATTATTTAATTCGAGTTAAGAAAAAAGAAAAAAATACGCAGGGTATCGGTGAACAACATCGATCCTAGTAAGCACAATTTCCGAAAGAAAAATCAGAGTCAAGAAGTGATCGATCTAGCTTCGCTCGATGATTGTGAATGTTTTAAACAAGTTCTCTAAATGAAAGCGTTGTTCCGAATCGACGAATAGAAGCCACTTCGGAGACAGTTACATGTGCGGAAAAGTGCAAAATTCCTCGTGGCAAGCACAAATGACATCCTTCTCTCAAGGATGATAAATTCTTAATTGTTAAGTGAACGAGATTATTTTAAACGAAACGTAGAAGAAATGGTCGATCAATTTAAATGTTAATCTCGCAGGCCTTCAAGCGAAACGAATTTGACAAGCCACACGGTACTCTTTGATACAAGATTAACCAACTAAACATCGGTATGAACGTTTCGAGGAGTCTTCCGGTTTATACATCAGCAATGCATAATAAAAACGAAAACAATTCATAGCCTTAGACTTCAACTAGTGAACGATCAAGGTCAATAATCACAGTCTCATCGGCCATCCTGGCCACGAGGTCGCCAACCAATCGATGACCAATGTGACCAATTCGGATCCACATCGATAAACCAATTTCAAATATCGCGTTTATAAATAATGTACCGAGAGCCGAAATCAACTTGGACGAATTTTATTAGAAAAGCTGACGTAGACTTTTCTCGCGACAGAATATCTGAAATATTATATTCGACTCGCCGAACGGGCCAAGATGGTCTCTCGACTGTCCCTGTGGCTCGCTTCCCAAAACACTTTTCCTATTTCTTCGAGGACTACCGAACTAATGGAAGCGTTCGTTCAATGCATTAGATCGCCACCCTTAGCGGTACGCGATAAGCGACGAAATTCCTCAAACTCCTGAGACTGATTCGAAAAAGAGTCCTGCTTTAGCGAGGGACGCGACGAGTCCTTTACACCTAGATTTCGCCATTTCGGTGGGAATTGTATACTCGCTTCTAGATCGGTTCTTCCCTTTATGTTTCGTCAATGATTTGTCTCAATTCCGGTACAATTTGAAACACCGTTCATCACTCGGCCTAAACAGTCAAGTTCCTCCGTATTATAATTAAATGTCCTCACTGTTCTTGCCTTCCCTGTATCTTCATTTTATTTGACTCCGACACCGAACCATAAGTTATCCTATAGGGCATCGACACAGATAGTGTAAACTTATCTTACTTAAACATCGAACACTTTTATTGTAGCTCAAATACTTCTCGGAAGGATGCACAAGGATATCGAAACGAGGTCCAATAATATTTTGTTTGCTAAGAAAGATGTTGGTATTTCTTGATCGTTCAAGCATTCCCAAAATGATTAAACTTTGTAAGAAATCCTTCGGAGGATTTATAATTATTTCCAAAGCAGCATTGACTCTCGTTCGATACCCCAGTGCTCTCTTCGACGTGAGAATATTACCTCCAGGACGTATCCATCAAGGATTCAACCTGGAGATCCGGAGCATCCGATTCGCCTAATAATGAATTTTTAAAATTCATGCTTTTCAAATTTCTCCGACAGAGGCCCATGCAGCTATCGGAGAAACGCAGAATACCAATAGTCTCCGTAAACTCGTATGACTTCTTCGGGGCTTAGAATTCGTTGTCGAAGACAGCTATCGTACGCCAATCGGTTTCGCCGTATCCCGATGCTCTTCGACCAAGAATTTGATACTTCCGGAACAATTCCATCCTCGTAGTTTGATGTAATTGTAAATGAGTTCTTAACTCCAGAACAGTTAAAACTCACACCAAACGAATCGTAGAACCTACGAGCTAGCTTAAGTTTAAGAAGTCGACTTATTCGTTATTCAGATAACGAAACCGCATCTTCACGGGATGCACTTTGTCGCCGCGGTAGGTGTGGAAAAGAATCCAATAGTTGAGGGAGCCAGAAAACTGCCAATAGGCTTTGGATCCCACCAGAGTGCCTCGATCGGTGTCCAAGTGCTTCGTTCGGTGCAGTGCTAACACTCTTCTACGGTTAGAGAAGTTATTTGCTATGCAGAAACTAGTTTCAGAAGCTGCTCAAAAGAGAGGTATCCTTAGATCGAAATCGGCAGCTTTTCGTCACCAAAAAGGACACCGACGGCTCTCGCAGTTCTAAGTAGATTTTAACTGGATCGATCCACTTCTGCACTGAACCTCTGCTTCTAGGCTGGCTTCCTTTCGTAAGCCTAATCGCTGAATATGTGCTTGAGGTCATGCTCGTAGAGGGCTATGATTAGCATTATCCCCAGACCGGTGACCAATCCCAGAGCTTGCAGTACAAAGTGCCACTGCGAACCACCCTCCGGTGAGTGGTTCGACGCCAATTCTGGAATCTGAAAGTAAGAAGCGCAAAATTAACCAAAGCCGAATATTAAGATTACGTACATAATAAGATGACTCGTTCGACGCCGTACCATATCTACGAGAGCTATGTATATGAACATGCCAGCAGCAGCTGCAAACATCCAGCTGCTCGCCGAAGGAGCAGTACCAATTAAGACACCAAACACCATACCGAAGAAGCAAAGCACCGAAGACAGTAAATTGTAGAACACGGCTTGCTTCGCAGTCATGCCTGCCTTCAATAGAACTGCGAAATCACCTGTTCGTAAAGAAAACGAAAAAACATTACTTATTCGGTAAAGTACAAGCATAATTCGGAAATCATTTCCCGGTTAAGTACGATGTCTGGGAGACACTAAAGTGGGGGAAGCGAAATTAAAATACAGTTACAATTGTATAAGAGTCTGGGTTTGTCGGGTACATAAAAGTATATGTTTACCTAATTCATGGGGCAATTCGTGACAAAAGACGGCAATGGCAGTCGAAAAGCCACCGGCTATGTTCGCTGAAAAAGCAGCACCAATAGCCATTCCATCTGTGAAGTTGTGGAGACCATCCCCCATCACTACCATCCAAGCTACACTGGACATCGAGTCTGGCGCGGAATGTACATGACCTACGCAATACAAAATCGTTATCAAAGAACTACATCCGTATCGTATCTCTATCTCTACTTATAAATAGTTATATTATTTCTGTATCTTCGGTAGACAGGGTGGAGCTTTACCATGCGAGTGAGTATGACCATGATGCTTATTTTCGTGCTCCCGTATGATCACGGTGTAACTATCCATCTCGTTAAGAGGTATATCAGCACCATCCGGACTTTTCTTGGTATGGCTTACTGGCTCATCAGACTTCCAGTCTTCGCTTCCCTTCCTTTCGTGATTATTCTTCACGATGTTAGACACCGAGTTGCAATTCGAAGTCAGCGGTTTCTCTTCTTCGATCGATGGAGGCTGCTGGTGATGGTAATGTTGACAATTGTGATTATCTAAAAATTGGAGAATGTTATTAAAATGTGTAGTGAAAATCAATCCCTTCTTACTCTTCAACACGGGTGCGAACACGAGTTGCTTCGACATAGGTAATTTCCTTCATTTTAATTACCTTGTGCATCGGTTGTAATTTCACCATAACAATAAGGATACGATGAATATTTGTGCTTGCACAACTTCTCACCAACTGTGTTACTATTCGGCCCCTCCGGTTCTCTCATTACTCTTACACGTGGCGGTAACTAGAAGTACGTTGAATTGATCAGGCGACTTTTTTTCACCATAATCCTATGCACTTAGTTTTCATGCAGTATTACGATGATACATAGTATGTGCATGGGCTTACTTTGCTACGTCTCTGATGCTGTTTCCTCCATTCCGCTATCATAGTTAAAGCCTTTTCGGTAAAGAAGAACATAACGAGTCCCATCATTGCCACAAGACCTTTCCACATATTTAGATTATGATCCTCTTCTTCCTCTTCTTCCGCATCCATGAAGCCATCTTCATGACCATGGCGTTCAGAAGATGGTGACATCATTGCCTAAACCCACAAATTGTAACAAAGCTGATTAATTGATTTAAAAAATAATGTATATATACAATGAATACACAGTGCATACATTGTAAAATTAAAGAAAGCTAATCTACATTTGTTATAAACATCTAGTTTTCCATTAAATAGAAGTTACAAAGTACAACTTACATGGGGTAACAAATGTATAAACGCATCACCACAAAGGGTACCGATGGCAAGTGCGACTAGAAACTGCAATAGTTGATTATAGTAGCTTTTGCCCATCACCGGTATCACTGCTACACCAAGGAGACCACAGAGACTAATAATTAAAATGCTTATTGTCGAGTAGACCCATACTGCAAATAAAATAAGCATCTTAGAACAACGGTCATCAACCACGAAAGAAATAAAGCGAGAACTTGTATTTCTAGTTGTTTCTTAGTCGTTTAAAAGCACTATAAGTATCCACTAGTGGAGCATAACAAATAAGACAAAAAGCTTAGTCAAATAGTCCATGACTATCCACCTTGAAACATGTTCCGTGACATTTCTTCTGGAGCGTAGCCACGTATCATGGCAGGCTGGTAACTCTCAGGAACAAGTACGCAGCCAGCCCTGTCAGAACTGGGTTCTTCGGCTAACTGATAAATCAAGGCTGGACAGACTCGTTCGAATAGCCATTCAGGTAATATTGTACTATTGTTCACCGTTGAGATGGACGACGGGTCCTCCAACACTGAACCCAACAGCTCTCTACTGCTTAGACACTGGAATTAAAATCAGAACGTTAAAGTCCCATCGATGCCTTGTCAATGTGACAGACATTTGGTAGAAATCTTTTGGTATACCCTTTGCTTTGACTTCGTTGTATCTACATTGCGTAGGTCGTTGCTGCTCCGCGATTCGACAATTCCACCTGCATAGACGAAAGACTTGCTTTACGATTAGGAATTCCAAGCATTTAACTGGGCAATACGCTGCAAGAAAAGAGAGACTCTGGTCTCTCCGATGAGATGCGTTTTTGACTGTCAATCAATGTAGTGAAAGTCTGATCGATGAGAAAGAGGGCAATGTAAAAAAGAATAAGGAAAACAGAGGATCGAATAGTCGAGGTTATGTAACCAAAGGAAAAACTACATCATACAGTAGGTGTTGACAATGTCTGAAAGGGTCAATATAATCAGAAAGTTTAAGTCACGGACTTTCAAAGTGATGAAACAATGGAATTCCCCATGGAATAAGTACTGCTCTCAGAAATTATTAATTCACATAATGATAAAACGGTTGTGTACTACTATTGTACTTTATAAGATAAATTTAATATTTCAACCATCCTTTGCTATTCTGTAACTATCCAATTAGAAATTAGCACTCGCGCTTCATGTTGTTTCATACTAATTGCTTTTATGATGTTTCAATTACAAAGCTAAGATTAAGAGCTGACATGGCTGAACGCATTGTTAAATAAATTGAAAGTATTAATCGTCCTGCAACCAAGTGGAATTATGAAAATATTTACACATGCGTGTTTGTTTACTGCAAGGTCTCCTAAGAAGAATACCTGAGCACTTTGATGGTTATCAGAAAGAGAAAATAACTCGAGCTAATGGATCGTATGATTTATGTCACGGATAGAGATATCTTCCTTGATCTTCTTTTATTATATAAGTATAATTTTATGCATATTTAACTATGCTTGAATATCATTTCCCGCAATGGGTTGGGACCTTTATAAAAATTTAATTAAAGAAGAATTCTTAAAAATGTAATAAGTCACAGAATTTTAAAAACAAATGAAAGTATCACCTTTTCACTATAACATGAACAATTATTTTTACCTTTTCTTCATAATGTTGAAACATGATTTTGTCAATATATGAGAGTTAGTCAAATCGCGAGAACCAGATACGACTACGACGTAAAGTATAATCGCTTCGAAGCTCATCAAAGAGGGATAATGACTCAAAAGCTAGTTTAATTTAGATCGTAGACAGATTAAGTATCAATACGCGAATCATCTCACATAGCTCAACTATTAATCACGATAGTGCCAATAATTGATCCATCGATGGAGCCCTAAGGTCACGTCATCACTGATATGTTGCCAGAGAAATTCCGATCATCGTCCGAGGCTGATAAAAGTACTGCTACGTGCATCAGTGATCAATGGAATCACTCCGTTAGATCTAGTTTCCTTTCAAATGGTAACACAATGACTTGAAATTTTCTCATTAAACTCAAGACTCTTCTTTAGCCACCGAACCATTTTCTTACACCTTGAAGAAGTAAATAAATTTTAAACACTCCATTGGAAAAGGCATTTCAAATATTTTCTATGTGCTCAAAGCTACTTCACAAAAAGTAATCATGACTAGTTTTCATCTAACTTTATCCTTCCACGTAGTTCAATAATGATGTTCTCAGCGCACACTTTTTTATCGTACAATTAACACTGACATGCATCTATTCCCTCACACTCTTACATTCGTTCAATTAATTTCAATTACATGGCCATCACACGCGTAGGAAGTAAAACTTCCAGGTTAAAGAGAATTAATAGATGTTATTAAATATTCTTAATTATCATTTCCCAAAACGCCCTTACGCGTTTGACACTACTTATTTTGGGCATAATTATCTTTATTTTTATTTGTATTATTTTTATTTCACTTTAATTATTAATAACTACCTGAGAGAATAACAGAAACGTTTATGCAAACTTCATTAATTAAAAACACAAAAACGAATGTAAATAGTAATTAACTATAAAAGAGTATTTCACTTTCCAAAACGGAACCTTTTAACACATTCCAACTTACACGAGTACGGTACTATAAGATGTTTTACTTCAAAAGTGCATTTACGGACACTCGACCCACTCAGTATTGAAGTCACAAGACGATTGATTCGCGAAACGGGCGCAGATATTTTCTATCGATAATCGAACATTCTTTTTCCCATTTCGTATATCTGGTAATAGGCTTCGAAGATTGCAGTAGCCAGTGGACTTTTCGAAACATTTTCAGATACCGATATCTACTGTTTTGTCGGACAACAGATAAGAGGTGTAAATAGACAAGATTAATAGTGAAAACCCTGGGCTTTTATCACTTTTTCGATTTCCCTTTAAGTTCTTGAATTCAAGCTCAACCAATGAATCGTTGAAGTGGGTCGACAAATATAGTTGTCAATCATTGGTCACGAGTGCAAAACATTACACGTGTAATTATTAATTCCACAACGTCCTGCAATGCAATTTCATTATTGTCAGTTAAGACGATATGAAAGAGTTATGATATATATATATATATAAATTTTATTTTGATAGATGAAATGTCACGAGCATCATGTTCTTTCTTAGGGCCATTATAATTACGTGCTGAAGTTCCAAATGATTTGGTGCACCCAGGTTGGAGTAAAGTTTTATAAATATTTTGACATTTTGATATATAGAATGACCCTTTCATATCACCTTAAAGACCGTCGAAACAAGACACTTTTAAACACGCGGGTCATCAGCGTGAACTATCTTACATTTTATACCTACTCGAGATGAGACACGAGAATTTGACACGTCAATGGTGATAATAAATATCTTAGCATACCAGTTTCTAGTGAACGTTATACCGAGCTACGTTATCTGCAACATAGTCTAAGGTTACCATAAGATTATTTAATCGACATGCAGTCGTCTAAAAGCGAGAGTATTAAGTTTTCCTCGCAGATGACCAAAGGTATTAAGATTTGCTTGAGCGCGACGTCGCGTAATAATAACCACGGTTTCGTTTCCTCAATTAGTCCCCTTCCGTAATTATGAACAATTTTACAATTTTCACAAGATAACGGCAACCTTGAAACATCGAAGAAAGAAAGATAATGGCATGTCCAATGGGCAATTTTGTACTATATGAAAGTTTAAAATATTAAGAGATAAAGTAGTTTCGAACCAATTATTTGAATGATTAATAGACAGAGTGACTTTAGGTCCAATGGATTAAGCAATTGTGCTTGACAGTATTTAATCAATTTTCGTGTATCTCGGATCCGACTAGTACTTCTTCGATCTCATCAGGACATCTAAAAATATTTGACAGCGGCACGTGGCTCCCACGAAATTAATAAGGGATTCGAGGGGTCAATTGCTCACAGGTTCAAATGCTCCTGGTTAAGTTCCATTAAGCGGGTTTTTGATCTCAATCGACGACATTGTTATCATTAAATCAAGCTAATGATTACTCAGACTGTGCCAACAATGTTGCGCACGTTCCAATGGTTATTGTAGGTTACTGGGATGCAACCGCGTATAATTAAAAATTAATTGAAAACAGCATTCCATAGAGAAGCCTTTAGATTTCACTTTGATCGCACGTCTTTTCACAGCTAATCGATAAAGTTAATTGCAAACTATAAAGAACCCGTAATGGTTTAGATCATGAACAAACTATAGCTATTAGAAATTATTTCGATTTACCCATTCGATTTCCAGACTGTTGATCCGTCCTGATTTGGCTCTCCCTGTCGTCGAATGCATTCGACAGCCTGAACAGTCCAAGTCTTCGAAGGAGCTTCTCGAAACCCTTAAGGGTCATGCTATTTCCATCTCCATAGGCCTCGAAAACCTTCCTGATGAAGTACCGCCGATCGATCTCCGCGTCTCTTCTCGTCCTCCCTCTAGCTTTCCCCACATTGTACTCCCACCTCTGAGAGTTTGATCTCTCGTTAAACACCTCAGGTTGTCCGAGCCTCTCCATAATCTCTCGGTATCTTTCACTGTCCTCGTCATGACCTTCCACTGCTGCGAGACGCTCTGAAAGGTCTGCATCATAGTATGGCAAAGGCTCCAACTCAATGTGTCTTTCTTCCCTTCGTAGATGCCGTCTTTCACGGCGAGCTGCATTCTGCCCTAGGAAGTCCTGCTTCTCCGCAGCAATGTTTGAGCTCACCGAACGAGCCACCCTTGCTTCAACTGGAGACTGCGAATCACTCAGACCCAGGGAAGAGCTCCACAGATTTGCAACGGAGTTTGCACTCTGAATCTTGGCTGAACCGAAGGACGGCCATAGCGACGAGAAGATATTGTGCGCTGAGCAGGGGTTATGCGCCGCACACAGAACGCACACCATGCACACCGTCATAAAGTGGTGCGACATACCGAAAAATCCTGAAACAAGTTGTAATTGTCATTGAAATTTCAAACAATGTATGTTTAAATGTCTTAGTCATATTAAGCCACCAAGTGGAATCAAGTGTAATCCCGAGTTTTAATCACTTTGCACTTTAATGGCAAACGAGAAAAAGTGTATATGGAGATTAAAAGCTTAAGGACTTTCTTGATCCACAAAATCAGATTTATTATTTATTATTCTTGAACCACATGGATAGTATTCCTTCAGTAAACAAGATGTTCTCCAGTATAATTTATTAATCATTTTATGTCAGAGAAGCGAGATACACAAGTGAGAATTGTTGAACAAAAGGAAATAGACAAGTGATGTTAATCCCTGTTAAGTCTTAACGTTATTAATGTCAATTAATCTGGAGATATGAAACAAGACTTTAAACAACCGTGACCTCTCAACAAGTGGTTCTCAAAATTGAATTAATATTGCATGTATTTACCATCTAGGTGAATCAGACCGTCGATAACCAAGAAGATAAATGCAGAAACGTTGACGAGTTAAGAGTATATGGATGATAAGCACCAGTAGTACTTAAACAACATAGAGTTGTCTTGTCGCGTATAATCAAAGAAATATAAATGCCCGTCATATCATGCATCGATACATTGTGCATATGCAGGTAAAGTAACGGGCATTAACAGCCTGTTGTCGTCAATGGATAGCTTGCCGGTTAAGATTAAACTGATACTGATTACAAAAAGCACATAAATGAAGGTAAAGTGAATACACGACAATCATTACCCCTAATCGGGTTTAAGCATTTTAACATTCGTTACTCCAAAGTATCATAACATAACATAAAAAAAGTCAAAGAAATTGATGAATTAAATCTTCCTCAAATAACCTCAACAACCACTCGATAAAAATCCACAAATATCACTGAACGCGATAAAACTGGATACAAAAGAAGGAAAACTGCGTTGCCATTGAACTTTTTACAGATAATTGAACATTCGCTATCGGAGGTTGGCTCAAAGTTTGGAGTAACTGAAAAAAGCGTCAACAAACAATGGATACATGTCACTCAGGGAAAACGTTACATTTACGCACTCCAGGAAGATGTAAACACGTAAACAAACCAGTGGAATTTCATTACCTCAAAACATTGCGATCTACTTTACACGTGCACACGCGTACGGAAACGTTTACGTAAACGCATCCTTGCTAGAAAAGGTATTCCACTGATATCCGATTTAACAATCAGACGCAAACTCTTTTCTTTTTTTTTTTTCATTAAAGTGCATCCAGTTGGGATGACAGTAACGAGAGGAACCGCTTTGAAGATCCTGATCCATGATGGAAACCGTTAGTCCCAGGACTAAGCCATCGAAAGCAACGCAAAGATTGAAGGCTAAAAGGCAGCTTCCTTCGACCGATTCCCTTTCCGACGTATAACCTCAACGATACATGATAAAAGCCTACGGAATGTCCAAAAATAGCATTCACCGAGATAAAACTGGAAGCAGGGAGGTCGCGCTGCCTGAAAAAGGGTAAACGCGGAGGTCCGTTACCGAATCCGCCTCACGGCCGCCGATCGCGTGTCAGGAATCGGCGGGAACTTAAAATTAACAGAGAGGAGCGTCGCCAAGTGGCGAGGCTATGTCACTTGGCGGCAACGGTGCGTCTACTTACCCTAGCGAGACGCAGCCACGTAAACAAACTCGACGACTCTCATAACCTAAAAGCACCGCGATCTACCTCGGGACCCATGTATGCGCGCGTACACGTACGCGGGCTCTCGGTTGCATGCGCGTCCTCGCGATTTGGCCGATCGAATCGGTAGAATAACCTCACACACACTTCAAAGCTGCGTACACGGTCACTCCGAAGCGATCGGCCAATGCGACGCGCCTAGCCACGCGCTCGACCAATCAGAGCCCGGGAAGCGACCAGTCGGAGCGGCAGCCAATCAGCGTCGAGGCTTTCGTCGAAGGGTTCCAAATCGACGTTTCCTGATTGGCCGGGAGAGCGCGAGGTGAAAATAGACGGTCGGACAGTGCAGCGTGCTCGGAAATCGGTATTTTTAGCTGTCACTCGAGAGGGGTTAGGTTTCGCCGAAAGGTACGGCCACTGCTCGAGCATCTGCCGGCGTATATTACTGAACGAGCGACCGGGCACCGCGTGGTCGCGGTTTCGAGACGAATCTGAGTTTGAATCCCGATGGGAGGCGGTTAAATAGCCCGAGCGAGGGCGGCCGCAACACCTACGACCCCACTCGGCCGGCTGCAGGGAACCCGGCCACGCGCGCGCGAACTGACCGATGCTACGGAATTCTCCCGCGCATGCGTATAAGACTCGCCTCGAAACGCATGCGCGCACCTTCAGTAACGTATATACACAGGGTGCAGCGTGTTCCTTTTAAATGAAATGTCCAGGAATCCCAAAGAAAACGAGCATATTTATCCATTCCAACTGCAACGCTTTTTTTATGCCATAGAGCATTCGGTTTCTCAACAAATATCTAGCAATATGAGCGCGGAGGAGGTTAGGTTGTCCTATTAAAAATCACTGACAATGGAAACAAGGGAAGATTTGAAAGGTGAATTAACTTTTTTAACCACGACTATTAAGGGGGAGACAGTCCTACTTTTAGAGTCCTTAAGGAAATGTTTTCCTAACACTTTCATATTCACACGTGGGAGCCTGAAAATTTAACACGGGACTGCAGACGCTCCTTCGCGGCAAGATGGCGCCGGCAATAATTACCTCTGTCACCAATAGCCGTTCGCGAAGCTTTAGACTCGGCTTGAGTCATGCGTTGCGTAGGGAGAAAGGACGCCCACTCTCCCACGGGACTTCCGCGACGCGTCCGAAGCGCGACGCGGCGATCGAACGGACTACTTTGTGAAGCGAAAGAGGCGCCGCGCCACTGGCGAGGTTTGCACGATCTACGAACGAACTGACTCGGCCTACGAACGAACCTGACTTCGCTTGCAGCGCGGAGTATATATACGAGATAGAGGAAGCGCGGGAGTGGGGAGCACGCTACCTCGCGCGCACTCGACCCGGAGCGCTGTGATTGGCTCGCCGGGACACGCCCCTCCGCAGCGGACCAATGGCAGCCACGCGCGTCCGCCATGTTGCGCTAGCGGGTGCCTGGGAATTTCAACGAGTGAAGAGGGGATTCGGAAGAAAAGAGATGGAAAATCGTGACCGTGAACGTAATCATGGCCACGGTGGCGATCACGAGCGTGCGCGTCGCGACAGCTCTTTTTACGATCCTTTTCATGGGCGGCGGACATTTTTTCAGTAATAACACGGAATGGACAGCTATGGATGACGAGCGTACCGCATGTGATTTTCTAGGTGGTCGAGCGAGGACGTAGTCTGTACAACAACGATGACATTAGTTAAGGTTATGCTTAATGCTTTCCGTGATTCGATCTTTACGGGGTAATGCCTTCTTTTGGCAAATGAGGCAATATATTTAAATCGTGCGCTAAGCCGCCTTCAATGTATTCGTTCTTTGCCTGATTTGGGATGCACAATAAACTATCCGAAATCTGATGCAATTTGTTACTACGTAGCCAGTGAACGAAAATTAGTTTTTGATGAACCAGGAAATTTGCGTCCCATTAAGATTTCCTTTTTCTGACGTCACGTTCGTTTCACTCTCGTTTCCATTTTTAATGCACACGCGTGTGTATTAAAAATTAATTTATGCGCCTGAAAAATATGTTAAGTTCCTCGCCAACGTCCGTACGGTGATATAAAAATCAACCTTCCCGGTTCTTAACTCATTCTTGTCGCCTGTAGTTTCCACATTTACGTTGTTTTTATATTTAAATAGGTTTTACGCGATGCAAATTGCTAATTTCATAACGCGTTTTCACTAGCGCCTCTATTGGCGGAAGTTTAAAATTGACTCGAGTGGAATGACCACATCTTGATTTTTCTACATTGAAAAACTCACCTGAGATTTCTTAATTCATAGGTTGTAACAAGTCATTGTACGTAAAATATTACGAAAAAGCCTGCAACTTTTTTCCTTCCAATAGAGGTTTCGGTAAAATTTCTAATTTCGCGCATAAGAGTTAAAGATACCCACTACCTTATTTCTTACACACTTCAACCTTTTCTCAACAACAGTAGATAAGATAGAAGGTAGTGTCATTTCCTCCTAATTAACGTACATTTCTTTAAATAAGATAGATCAACATAATAATTGACTCTTTACACCATTTAAACCATGCAAATTCTATTTAACAATGGTTCATACAATCTTCAGCATGGTTTCTAATGATTAAAGTAAGTACAGCTGCTGATTATGGTCATAAAGCTAATCGCTCCTTATGAATATTAATTACACTTCATGTCGTGCTTTGCTCTTTCACGTAAGCACGATGAATGTATGGTCAGGAATCAACTTCACAAATCTAGACCACTAGCATAAAGATACTTTGTACTACTTTTAATAAGGCAATCAATATACTGACGTGCAGTATACAATAGTTCAAGCGTTCACTTGGTTATTTAACTAGAAAATAAAGAATCAATAAAAATTCAATCTGTGTAAAGTAAATACTGTTCATATGAACCTTCAAAAACAATGTAGGAGCTTGGCTTTAGATTAACATGTAGGAGCAATTGCATTATTCAATCTGTTTAGTTAACATAACAGTTTCAGAGAATGTTGCATGAAGAACAGCGATTAAACAAGTTAAAAAAACGTACAAAAGAAAACAAATTCCAAACTATTTGGAGATAGAAACCCAGATTTTCTTTATTAAAGACAATAAACTTATATAGGTTTTACGCAATGCTGCTTGCATTTGATGCAATCCTTGGCCATAAATCTGCACATTCTTTCGCAACAGGACCTGTTATTGCTGAACCTTTCATTTCACCTTTATTATTAACGATTACGCCGGCATTGTCTTCAAAATATATGAAGACACCGTCCTTCCTTCGAAATGGCTTGCGCTGGCGTATAACGACTGCTGGCATCACTGTCAATATAAATTATGTATTTTAAATACAAATATACTTTGGGAATATTAATGAATATTGAAATTAATTACAGTGAAACTTAATATAATTATACAAAAACTATAATATTAATGTTAATATGCTAGGTAGACTGTATTTCAATTAAGCATTAATTCAATTATTCATAAAAAATTTCTCAATAATTCCAAAACAAAAATGAGAAGTTCAAGGAAAACCAATGAAATGATGATGAAGATTTCATTTAAACTACAGGAGAAACGAGTCGTTACTTTTACTAGGTAGGATGAGGTCAATTGCCGTCAATTATCAATTGTAACGGTGCTTAGGCAAAGAGATGAAATGCTTTTTCTTCCCACAGTGGCAATAAATCACAGTAACCTTCAAGTTAGAAACGTCCTTCCCTTTGTACGACAGTATCATAAATAGCAAGTATCACAAATATCTTACCCTTTTTTCTAAGTTCAGGCTTTCCCTTCTTAACGGTGGCAACAATCATATCACCTGATCCAGCAGCTGGTAAGCGATTTAGTCGCCCCTTGATTCCTTGCACCGCAATGACATATAGATTTTTGGCTCCTATGCAGAAAAATGTATAAAAATTATCCTTCAATAAATAAATCACTGACCAAAACTGATTAAATGCCCTATTTTAAATGTAATACTATTTTTTCTACCCTTTTGAAATTAAACAAGCACAAATTAATAAACAATACTGAATCATGTTCATTTTAAAATAGTGGCAATCACATAACTCTCAACTATTAAGGCATGTTGCTGTATTATGAAGTATGGGTAACACATTCAATGCAGTTTGTGCAAACTTATGAGTCAAATATTCGACCTCAGAACCAAAGTACCATAAACTGCATAATAATAAACGACACTAAAAGACTTCCGAGTAGAAAAAAAAAGCTCAATGTCACGGAATGCTTTCTACCAAGGCATATGCTGATTTCGTGAAACTTTGAGGTTAGGCCGGGAGAAATCATAGGTTAATCAGGTGCACTCACCGGTATTATCGGCACAATTGATGACTGCTCCGACCGGCAAACCCAGAGATATCCTAAATTTGGCTCCCGCCGAACCACCACGTCCTTAAATACCAATAATTGGGATTAAATATCGGTAAAACAAACCATCGTGCGCCGCAACCGTTTCATTCGTGGCAGTTATCAGAACTTTCGCCGTCTTTTTTAACAGAATTTTTCATTCCGTCGTCGAGCATATACATTTTGCTCCCGATTGTTTCCATGAACTTTCATGGATGGCGATTATTCATCACAATTAACATGGATTACATTCACATTTCCAATGAGCTTACCTCGCTTCGACATCTTGAAGTGTTTGAAAGAGAAACTCTTCGGCAATCACGGCGCACCCTGTACGCGCATCTATCTAATTGGCGTTGGCGCGGGAAAATATGAAGTTTCAAACGTTGACAACTGGTGTATCAAATTCATTAGCTGAATATCGGAAACGTGGTTTTACGATGATGATGTTGTGAAACGTAACCTAAGATTCATATAATGGGTACTTGATGGTGCAAATAGTTTTGTAATAAAAGTAGAATTATAATGGTATATTGTATTATTATTGTTCGACGACTAACGTAGTCAAAAGCATTAATTTGACAACCAACGCGACCGACTTCCCGCGATTGTATTTGAATTAAGCCAGAGATGCTAACGTGACGCATTTCCGTGTCATCCTTAAATTTACCAGTTAAACACAATGTTTTCGTCAATGTTTAAAAATCCAAAAAGTCAAAACAATGAGCGGCCACTGCAAATTCGAATCATGCAGGCTATGTTCTCCTGTGCTGAACAAGTTACGGTTTTTTCCATCTTTAACCTTAAACCCTTACAAATCGAATAATCAATTTCATTTGCATTTCATCACTTTACATAAGCAATGCAATATATTTTAAATGCAATTTCATAAGCAATGCAATGACTACCGTAAAATGATTCCCTTTTAATAGCACCTAAGAAGAATCTAAGCTGTTAATTGGAATCACCTTTGCATTCATTCATTTCATTCATTTTAGGAGGATCCCCTTGGAACGACAAACGAATTCATCAGTATCTGCGGTGAAAAATATTTAGATATTCACGGTATGAATCTGAATACAATGATAAACAACATAAAAGGTTCTGCGATTATTGCAAGCGATTTTCAAAAATAATCTGGAAGCAGATCAGAGAGCAATTCAGACACGTGATAAATTTGTAGTTCAACTGCATAATTCTTTAGTTAATTTCAGATTAATCCAGAGTTATTTCATTTTCATTGTATGTTAAGTAATTTACAATAATGAGAGAAGAAAGTACGCCAGAAGATTAGTGAAGTGAGACTCTATGCAGCACTTCCGAAAGCCATTTTGTCAAATCTGCGAAAACTCTTATTTTTTCACAGTTTTTCATAATTTTAAACTACATAAGTGATACAACATTAATCTATTGAATAAAACGGTAGGCCGTAAGTTGTTCAATCTTTTTAGGTTATACGCGTTGATGTTACGAACTTCTCTCGCTCGTCGTTATTTTATTGTTGAAACTAAGTTATTCCCTTCGTAGCCTGAGTAAGCAATAAATGCCGGACGTTTTGCTTTCAGATATGATATCAGTACAATTAGGAGGTAAGATTCATCACGGTAAAAGGCAAATTAATAGATATTTGGTTTGTCAAGAAGTACAGGTAGCTTAACCTAACTTTCCCACAGCTGATACATTATCCAAAGGATATGTTCTATAGGATTTTATTGACTTAGTTCGTGTTTACATTTAACCATCGCAATCGAGTTTCAGTCCAGTAAAGCTGAGGTTTTCTTGTGTTGAGATTAAAACGTGTGAAAATGCCACATGTATTACAGACAGATGCGATAACGTTGCATTTCGGAGGTGAGGCTTGCTGCAGAGAATCTGTTAAACCTTCACTATATGTTGTACTATATTTATATCTCAACATGATTTTCGTGAGTTGGCTGAGTTAAAATTTTAAACTAATTAAGTAGCCAAATGTACCCAGTTTGTTCAGCTATAAAGTTTGTTTACTGTAACTCTAAATTCAGTTTGTATAAAAAAAGTTATCCTGATATTTAAAGTTGTTCAGATATACATCATTTTAGTTGAAGAGAACAACGTAATTGATAATTTATTTTATCAATTTAGTTAAGTCCCTTTTGCTCGATCAAGCTTGACAGAGCCTAACAAGAAAAACGAGCTGGATAACATTTTGTAATTACATGCTCTCTTGGTTCATACCGTTGTCTCGGTAGCCTTTCATGCATGAACTTGTCACGCCCAATATCAGTTTAGTTCCACGCATAAGGTTTAAAAAACTTTTGCCCTCATTGTCAAGTGAAATTAAAACCATGAAATCTTATTGACGCCTCTGAGCATTTTTTCATTCGCTTCTGATCGTGACACAAGGGCCCTGACCTCGATTGATAAAGCTGTATTAACCTTACAAAGTGGAGAGAATCCTTCTATCTGACATCATGAACTACCTTAGAATTCTAAGCACATCCGAAGATACATGGTCTGGAATTTTATATCGAGTCTCGAAGAAATCTTGAATTCGCAATGTCTCGTTTATTACAAGACAATTACATTAGCTGGTATTTATTGTGCCATTATCATTGTAGAACGTGAACCTTAGTTTTATACACAATTGGACAGTAATTTCAATATATGTATATTAATTTTTATTCACATAGTCCTAAATGTAAGTTACATAAAATTGATTTAATTTATATTGCTGTTTTATGTGCAGAACAAGAACCATGGCCTCAGTTGATAAAACTGTATCAGCCTTACGAAGTGGAGCAGATCCTTCTACCTGACAATGCAAATTGCCTTGCGGTTCAAGCTTACCTCAAGATGTGCGGTCTGGAATTTCAGATCGAGCCCCGACATAATGCCGAATTCATGTCCCCTTCAGGACGTGTGCCCTTTATTCAATGTGGTGCCTTCCTTGTGTCAGGTTTCGACAACATCGTTAACTTTATCAGCAGCAAAGGCGCTGGCTTATCGGATCGACTTAGCATGGGAGAAAAGGCTGACATGAGAGCCTTTCTATGTTTGATTAATGTCTTAGTTAACGCAGAGCAATATATCTGTTGGGTGGATGAAACTACCCTGAACTCAGTTACGTTGCCTCGGCACGGTAGCGTGTACCCTTGGCCGTTGAATCACCTCATGAACTGGAAGAAGCGGGTCCAGGTTATAAAAAAACTTAAAGCTCTGGGTTATCATGACTGGACTGTCGAAGCTATTCTCAATGACGTAAAGGCCTGCTGCAGTGCTCTCAGTGAACGCCTCAACAATAGTCACTATTTTTTTGAAAAGTAAGTCGTTAGATTAATTGAATTTCAGTTTTTTATTTTAACGAAGATAATGCCACTTCATAGTTCTCATAGCCTTGCCGATTAAAATTTTTTCTAAATAATCCAAGTTTAATTTCGAGAGAAAAATGAACATTGAAATCAATTTCCAACATCATAGAAATTCTTATTACGTAAATGTCTTCTTCAAACGTAAATTTCTGAAAGGACTTTTCTGTACTCTGAATCTATTGCTAATTGTTGTACATATGATATTCGTATCTTTTATCATATCCTGCTATCCCAAGACCCACCGAGCTGGATGCACTGGTCTACGGTCATCTCCACGCCATCCTGACGACTCGCTTACCGGAATCCGTTCAAGGCCTAGCCATGACAATACGGCAATTTCCAGAACTGCTTGAACAGACACTTCAAATAAGCATCAAATACTTCAACCAATCTCCTGACTTTCACAACATAGACGTTAACGTTCCAGAAACCTGGTCCGATAATTCCCTCTGGAGTTATGCAGAATCCATAGAACCTGTACCACCCCGCTCCGAAGACTCCTTTGTCATGGAAGATTAACTCTTAATTTCTTAAGTAGCACGAGAATACTTAGTTTTCTTTAATTCATTAACCGTAAACTGTTTTCATTTTGTAATCATTCGATTAAACGTTTGGATAATTTCTCTCATACTTTCGTGACTATTTTTCTATTGAAAAGAACTATCATGATTCTACTTCATCGTAAACATTACTTAATGGATGGTTCTTTTATTTAATAGGAAATGATATTAAATATTTTTTAAACAATATTCAGGTTCCCAACTGAACTGGATGCTCTGGTCTTCGGTCACATCTTCACGATCCTGACAACTCCACTACCAAACGACTTGGCAAATGTCGTCAAGGAGTTTCCTCAGCTCGTAAACCTGTGCAAACGCATTGAGACAAAATATTTCCAACCTTCGTACTAACAGCAGCTGATATGCTCCGACTTCAGGTATATCGAAATCAAGTACACCGATTGTGAGAGAGCCAAGTTCCTGTGCTATGCTACCGATGCCACCAAGAATAAGTTCAGAGGACGTATCATTTGTTGCGTTCAATAAGTCTTTAAAGGCTAACGAGAGAACAGAGAAACTGTACAAAGGAATTAACTTATCTCCCAATAACATCCGAAGCTGTATACCTGAAACCGGAGTAATATTTTCATAGCGTAGTGTATAGAAATGTTAATAGTTAATACAAAGTAGGGTTTAATTTAAGAAGCAATAGGCTATTTAAGATACCTTCTCCTTAAGTTTTGCACGCATCTCATTCGCGATATTTTTGATGGATTGTCACATACATTTTTTAGATACGACGCGCAACTCGACCTTTTTATTCGTCAATGTACTTTATTTTTACGCTCTCGATCATGACTCTTAATGGAGCGTTTATATTTGTAGTACATTATTGACGTAAACAAAGTTTACCATTTATTTGTATTAACCATACCTTATTACTTTGTATACGCGTTCTTTTGTAACATAACAATTAATATATTTCTTCTTTGGAAAAAGGAAGTAATTATATACAGAGACTGTATGACTGTAGACAGTCATTAGATTGCAGAGTTAAGAGAAAGATACTGGAAGATCTACTGGTTCTAATTAATCTAATTGTTGTTACTCCACGATCGTGGCGAAGTAAACAATTTATCATTGTCTCCGTTGACTTATAATTCCCCCTTCTAAACTTAAAACATACTTTCAATTACAGGTCGAAGATATGTTTTCGGAGTCTGAAACCAAGAGATAATTCTCATTTCATTTTTATATTAAATTAATAACTATTAAATGACGAATGCACCACTTTTTATGGAAATATTCAAGTAGAATTGACAACATTTAAATTTAACATTAAGATTATACTAAGCTGCCCAGCAAGTTGATTGTCATTCTTCGATTCAACCGTATCGTTATACTTTATCTAAGGTCATTGTTTCGACGAAGGCTGAATGCAATGTGGGCCGTCGAAGTCGAATGATCGTAAGATATAGTTTTATTTCTTGCATTCGATTGCAATGCCGCGTTTTTTCTATCTTTTTTTTTTCTTTTCTGTTTAAGAACCAGAAATAATTCAGGGCTTCGATATTGGTCATTCCTCGCACGGTTGACTTCTCTAAGTATGAATTTTCTTTTCCCTCGTCAGAGTCAAGTCTCTACCTTGCTTCTATCTTGAAACATTAGTTTTCAATTTAATTCTTATTTCCTCCTTAATTACCTATTTTATCCGGAATGGCGTACAATATCGATATTTTTACAGTGCGCTTGACTTTCCACTGTTCTCTTTCATCGTAAAATCTAAGCAAGCGTTATAATTGATCGTTATGCTCTCGCTTAAAATTCCTTCGATTCTTTTGTTCCCCCCCTTATTACTCGGACCTGTGACATTCCGACTTTAGTAATGCGACGATTAATTTTTACGGGCTTTTAACTCCACCGTTATCCTTCATGAGTTCATCTGACACGTGCGAAGGTGACGTTTATAATTGCGCTCATTACACTGTTCTTTTTACCTCTACATTGTGTGGTTGCCGCACTAAATATACATGTATCCTTTTAATAAAAAGCAATAAAGCGTGTTCAACTGAGAAACTTATTCGAATTAAAAAAAGGGTAAGATAGTTTATACATGCGAAAAGTTTATAGATATTCATATAATCAAGACGTCCAGCAAATCTTTGAGAAAGCACTAACACTAAGTCTAGGGAACAATATCGCTATTCTGTTTCAATTGCAGCTATCTAAAGAAATAAAACAAGAGGCATGAATAGTAGGTATGAATTTCTTAAAAATTAAAAAAAGAAGCCGCCGCGTGGTAAATAATACGTATTATATTTTCAAGTGCAAACAAAATGTGGATAATTGCATCGTTTATACTTAATAACAAAGTACGATGATCGCATTCTTTTTTGCTTTAACTCGTTTAACGGCTAAGTTACGGTCTACATTAATTAAAAAGTCCCACCATTGAAAATCTCAGTTATCGAAGGAGCCTCGAAGAACTGTCTCCTCTCAAGCTTGCAACCAAAAATCTGATCCTCCGGTGAGGATGCTTCTTTTATAATTTAAATATAAGTATTGCTGGCAAATAAGAAATACTTAATCTTATTGAAGCTGCTTGGAGGCTTTTCAATTACTCCGATAGTAATTCTATGTTCTGTCTGTGTTCATTTATATTGGATTACACTTATAGTAATATCATTCCGTGCAGCATATTGAATAATATTTCAGTTATAAAGCCTTTGACGTCAAGTCGAATTTACCAGCGTCACTTCTTTTTCATTCAAATTGTTTGCGAAAATTAAACACGTTCAGAATTAACGGATACATTTAATTCACTTCTTTAGATGATTGCAAATAAATATCCTACTCTTTTAAATGCGGTACTTTTTATGAATTGGCCAATGAACAGTACTCGTCGCTGACTAATCTGCAAACATTATATTTAAGAAAGAAAGAAATAATTCCCTATTTACTGCGGAGCTTTACCCGATTCTATAATGATTTTTCTTTACATAAAAAAATACACGCAAGCCTAAACTGATTCCGCTACTGTGATCGTAGCTGTAATTATCAACAAACAAATTATTTGTCAAACTCCCACCCCGAATTTCTACGGGCGTCAATGAAACAGGAGAATTATCGCAGTTGCAGTATTTTCTTCAATATAAAAGATACAATAAACAACGGCAAAATGAATATTTCACGCCACTCGAGTATTGAAATTCTATGATCGATTGACTTCGATAAAACCATAAAATTGTTCCGCTGAGGATTACTCTCTGTTGTGACTATAATAAAACTGTAACAATGTTTTCTTTTTTTTTTAATTTCGAGCTTCCTTAGATTTTATACGATTTCCTTAACTTATCTTAAACGCAATACTGACAATGAGTACGAATAAAAAAAATACGGCTTTCTCTTTGATTTCGAATTTTGCCTCTAATAATATTAATATATCTCATAATTTCATATACGCTGCACTTAACAATGTTCCGTGATTGTCGCTAATTTAGCATCTATCACCTATCAATTTCCATGAACTGGTAATTAACACTAAATTATATAATAATTAACAATTCTCGCGTATTCTTAATGAGGGGCCTAAATTTTAGATATCAATTTTAAGTCGATGCTTTAATGCAATCGAAGCATTTCCTATGCTATCCTTCCTGGTTGGCATCAGATAATATTTAACTCGAAACCCTGCACATTGTTGCACAGAAGGCAACTTCTGTCAAAGATCTAACGATACGTACAATCTTTGATGGATTTCCTTCGATGCATCCGTTTTGTGATACGTAAGGTGTAGCACAGAGAACTGGACAAGAAAGACCAAAATTTAGATACTCTAAAAGGAATGATAAGAACGATAGGAGACAACATTCCTGCACTGCAAAGAGAGGAAATCCTAGAAGTTAAAATCGAAGATATCGAAGATCGACGGGCGATTAAGAATTCCTTTCGGAGAGAGTAACTACCAAAGGAGGAGGAAGATTAATTGTGCGAGTAATATCAAGGGTTTCTTCTTATCGATACAACGAAGAACCGATATATCTGTGCCGATGACTCTATACTCTCTTCGTATGTTCTTTTTGTACTTATGGTATACCTTACTATTATCACTATTCCTTTAAAAGATTTCGTCTTTTCCTGTCAACACCCTTCTCCAAAGAATTCGGGAAACCTAAGCACTTCGAATCCCAATCGTGGAAGTCATTAAACTCGACGAGTGGTCGAACGGGAAGCCTCTTTGTAAGGGAATTTCCCAAACCAGAAAGGTAAAAACGGCATAGTGCAAAATGGAATCTAAAAGTATCGAACGCTTATCATTTCGCTCAAAGGAAATTACATAGAAAATTGTAACAAGGATACAAAAGATGCATCGCAGAATGCACTTCAAGAGAATATTCGCTGCATCGAACCTAAGGTTTCCCTAGCAATCGTCGACGGTATCTCACTCTCTCTCCTTCTCCAGCAGTTATCTTAAAATTAGCTTAAATTATAAGGTCAACATAACCTATCCTTGCATTACGCCGAGTGCAATTTAATCTAGCTAAAGTTGACCCTACGTGGAAACGTTGGAAAAGTGGTTTGAAAATTCCGGGATTACCGTGTTCACAAGGTTTTTGGTCCTTGAAGGAGATTAGAAACACCGAGCGAGTCGCTTCAACTCGATCTTCTTTAGAGCACGGGACATATCGTACGTTATGCGACACGTCGAGTTGACATCACCCTATCTACAAGAATATAACACATTCATATGTATACGTATATATGTATAATGTACATATATTCTTGTGATGAAATATTAAAGAAATTAAATTATATCATTTGTTTCCGACAAAAATTAATTTCAGGGAAAGGTGGGAATTAATTTCAGCGATGCTCCTTTAAAACCTAATTAATCTCCAAGCTATGTTTTTGTAATACTCCTGACAGAGAATGTGTCGACTGCTACCTCGATGGCTATCAAATAGCATCGATCAATGAATTTTACATATTGAATATTATTCATCGATGGATTGATCATATAATTCCTTGGATAAATTAATATTGGTCTTGTTTCATTCAGGGGTAAAGAATATCGAGTATAAATGATCACTGTATGTGCATTAATTGTACGTCCCTCCTTTACGTATTAATGCTTCTCGCAGTTTGTTCGACACATTCGGTGATTCGAGTGTTTGGAAACGAATTACAGCAATATTCATTTAAAATCTACTCACTTTCTGCCCTACACTCTTGTTATACTCCTAACAGAGAATGTGTCGAGTGGTGATGCCTCTGTGAGTTCGCTCCACTGGTATCGATCAATGGACTTTAAATTTTGGATATATTCATCGATGGATCGATACCAGTTTTAGAATTTCTCAGAGGAGTATATTAGGGATTATTTTTGTTTTAGTAAAGCATAAGAAAGTGCTTCTGACCAGCAAGTAAATCTGCACCCTTAATTTATGGGTTTACAAATTCTTCCATGATCGAGCACTATAGTCAGTGGAAAAACTATATTGTATCGATTGTAAAACGGGCCAAATATTTATTGACTAAATTTCGGACAACGTTCGAACGTTCAGCATGGTCCATTAGTGACTTGAAGACAGATTTAATTACATTTACGTCTTTATACGAAGATCCTTGTAAACAAAAGTAGTAAAAAGTTTGTAGAAACCTCAAAATCCCAATGACTCGACACACTCATTGAACAGAGTACATAGTTGCGATTTAGTCTGTCAAATATTCCGAGATTGTTTAAAAAAAAAAATAACTTTAGTGATTACATTACTTCATTACCTTGACTTGATAACTATTAATTTTTTTTTTCCATACAAATTTATTTCAGTTCCATAGAAGCAATTTCTCCATCGATATAAAAAATTTCCTTTTATAATTAGAGGAAAACTGTGATGCATTTTCTCCATTTGAGAAATTCGAGATATTTAATGTAAATAACATTATATAAATGCTCAGTCAATCACAAGCACAGCTTAACAGTTCGAAATATTGCTTACAAATGATCGGAAGTTTTACTCCTCAATGTCGAGATGTATATCTCATTTATTTGCGTCCATCACGAATAATCCTTTAAATAATCTCAGATTATTTGAGAAACAAAAGTGCTCTTCGTATTAAAGACTACCGTTAATATATCAACGCGGCGGGTTGCCATCTTCGGCATAATCTACATAACTTTTCCTATTCATATTGTTAAGACGATCGAGATTTTGTGTATGTGTATATATGTGTGATTCACAGCGAAGGAAAATCGTCTCTTTGATGCGAAGCCAACGTTGACTCTTTGTGCATGTCGGATAAGTTAATCCGGTGGTAGAAAACTGAACAGGCGAAACTGTTCCCTTATGTGCGGTCTAACATCACCACCCTGTAAAGCGTGAAAAGAAACCTTGAGTAAGACGTCATTTTTAAGAAATTCAAGAAATTGTCACGTTAGGAAATATAACCGGAATTTAAGTTTTTTTTTCCCGATTCAAAGGGAATTACAAAGGATTATCATACGTACCCAATGTACTAGATTTTCTAAAAACGGTAGAAGTTTCATCAACTCGTTATCCGAACGATCGGCAAACCAGCTTTCAATAGGTATGCCGTTTTCCAACTGAAACCAAACGTTTTGAGATTAAATTCGGATAAAGAAAAAAAAAAAAAAAGAAATCCATTTAAAGCGAGGAAAGATCTCGTGACAGTACCTGGTAGCCAAAAGCTTGTGGACTGTTGTCGATGATGACCGTCTTGGAGAGGTCCCTACCGAGAATGGAGAGATCCTTGATATAATTCCCATTTACGCACACGCAATGTTCTCGAAAGAGCCGATATTTGATGAGTTTCCTGGTGGGATCCAGGAGATTCATGAGTTTGTTTGCGTAGACCCTCTTGCTCGCCGTGAAAAGTATGACCTCGTAGAGCGACGAAACGTGTTCCAGGAACTCCCTAAAGTATGGCCGAGTACGTACGAAGACAGTGTAGGTTACATGTTGAAAGACCACCGGAAATCGAAACGCTGCATCCGAGAGTTCCTGAAGACTGCAGTGAACCAGAGTTTCATCCTAGAACCGATTTGCGACAATTAAAGAGAGAACATTTAGTGGAAATAAATATAATTGTTAGTACTGTTTCTGCACCGATCACATATAAATACAATACAACGATTGTGGTTAACTTTCGTTTTCATTTTCATAATCTTTATACAGGCGGTAGTGATATACTTTAGATAAAAGTATTCCGCTTGTTTCGTTAGTTTATGCCTCAACACGAAAAAAGAATTACCCACGTCAAACCTATGTACCCCCTTAATGATAGTTTCAACTTACCAGATCTAACACCAAGCTGAACTCGGGGCTGCTCCTGGTCTTCAGTGGCAGAGCAGGGCACCTGGCTCTCATGGCTGCCGTAAGAGGTGGAAGGTGCTTGATGAAGACGTAAGGATCGAAGGGTTCCCAGTCCTCCTGTACCTGAGCAACCATGTTATCGACGTCGCAGCTTTCGACGATCTCTTCACCGCCAACCTCCATATATTTGACATCTTGATACTCCGGCTTGGTCTCTTCCGATTCCAAGCAAGAATGTGGATTTCCACCGGAGTCTCCCGTGGGGCTCGAGTTCGAAGGATAAACATCGGAGTACTTGGTGCTGGAAAAACTGGAAGCCGTTTCGTACCTCGATGAATCGACATCGATGGAGGCGTATCGATGCTTGGATAGCTCTTCGCTGTTGTTTTCGTTTCCATCGACGAAACTGTACTTCCCCGGTGGAAAGTATTTATCGGTAGAGTAGCTCGTACGACCGGCGTAGATCGGGGTCGAATGCATGGCGTTGAAGTAGTCTTCGGAGGAGTCGTTCGGAGTGCAAATGGAGGAGTAATGGAGCGAGAGGATGTCTACAATAGAAAGAACTGACGTTTAAACAATTAGCGTTGTCCTTCCAACCCTTCGATTTGAAGCTCAGCTTCGTTCTGTTGATCGATGGAAAAGGGATTGAATACTTAAATCTTGATAACGACCGTTATGCAAGATTTTGTCATTCCTTAATTTTTTGCTTGCAATTTCCATCGATCCAGAGGCACGTGTAAGAGGAAATTGAGATATATATATCTTACTCACCAGTGTTTCGGTTGCCTTCGTCATCGAGTAAGCATGAAAGATCTGGATGAGAAGCTTCGACTGGTGGAGGTGGCATCAGCTCGGAGATGGAAGGAACGGTAGGCATCGGAGATTTGTAATCCTGCGTCGGAGTCGTGGTGCAGACTGGCTCATCCACACCAAGCGGAGAAGGGTAAAGAGATAGCGCTGTGAGGTTCCAATTTTCTTTAGAGTCTTCGATGACCTTCGACACCTTGGTGGCTTTTTGTGGCTGAAGTCAGAATTGCGATTAGGATTTGTATTCTATTAGACTCATTTGCTAACCGCACAGAGAGATCTTTAACTTACGACGGTAGCATCCTTTGGAACAGTTCGATGCAATGGAGTCGATGTCACCATCGAGCGTCTTATGCATTTTCTTCGACGAGGTCCTCTCTCTCGTCTAATAGGCGGAGATTTCGCAAAATGTAAAACATTTTCTTTACATGCCTACGGAGAGTGAATGATTTTTTAGCAATGTATCATTTGTGTCCTTTCCCTCTTCGGCCCAGTAAATATTTTTCTTGATGCCCTTAGTTTTCCTACATTATTCATCCGAGATGATTTGTATTTAAACTGACTGATTAATATGGACTGATGCTTCGTTGTAAATGGAAAACAGAGACTGCTTAGAAAATTCACTGACTACATATTTGAACGATACATCCGATAGTGTAACAGTTAATTTTTTTAAATATACTGCAGTATTAAAGTAATTTGCTTTAAACTACACGTTTGCTCATTGATTTGTACTTTGTACATGGATTCAGGTACATTGGCGATTTCTACATTTTTTGTTCAGGAAAGTTACACTATTTGTTACGATATTATTTTTGGTTCTCAACATTTTAATAAATTGATCGATAAACTTTGAATAGGAAAAAGTGTTCATGCTAGTAAAATGATTCAATTACAATGATACTATAAAGTTTAAATGCAATGATAGCCTATTCTTCAATTCGTTGTCTTATAAATTATAAATGCCAAAAAATCTCAGGTAATCTGCTTACTTCTTTGAGAAGATTTGGAGATCTGTGTCTCCAACGGGTTAGCCGACTACATCTGCTCGAAGTGCCAACACGTTGGCTGCCCTTGCCGATGGCAGATATTTTTCTGACTGCTCCAACTTGGACCCGACTGCTGGATACCTTAGAGCCTGAAACACCGCCGGTGCTCAAACGACCTCGGAGCCGTCGACTCAGGTGTTCGCTTCGCAGCCACATCTCAGCGTGCTGTTTGAATATTCTAAAAAGTAAATTCTAATGAGTTATCAATGTAATTACACAATGCGTTTGGAATTACCTGCTATACGCGTCAATATACATATAAGTAAGGAAATATTTTAGAGTCAGGATTTCTACTTCATGACATGATAACTTACTTTTTCTTAAAGAAATGCATAAAATAATCCCGTACTTTGGTTAAGATATTCATATCAAAATATTTTTCTTTACAAGTATATTATGTACAACTGTTATCGAATTATGCCATGGGAGACATTTGTTAAACATCACAGAGAAATCCACAACAAATTTTAGAGAGTAACACTTTGTTAACCTTTACATCATCTATTAATATGCATCTTAACAATAAGATCCAAGCTCTTTAATATTATAAATCTTATAAAAATGTTTTCCTGAAATGTCAACCCTCAATTTATTTGTGTATTTTAATCATTTCATTACATTTGAAACAAAAGAAGATTGCATGTAAGAATTCAAAGTAATCCGTTTATATTTAATGTGTCGATTATCTGTGATTCTGTTCTTCAATCCAAGTAATTTATAACAAGGTTTCAAAAATTATATCGGAAAGCATGCAATGACTAAAAATATTCCACCACTAGTGAATACGATTACCGATTCAGTGGGATTCTATCTTTAGAAGGCAGCTTTGGTACAGACAGAAAATTTGGAACGCTAAGGAGAGCTCTACCGTTTTCTCAGCTACGGACATTATCCATATTACAGAATTTACATAATGTATACATTCATTTAACATATTACATAAACGCAACAAAAACCATGTTCAGAACACAGTAATGAAATGATAAAAAAATGAAGAAATAAGAAGTAACGCAGAAAGTAACGCAATAGTAAAGTAAATTTTTATTACAATAAAATGACATGCTGGCAGCACATTATCAGTTTACTTAACCTCTATGTTCTATAATCTCAAGTAAATGCAACCATCTCGCAAACATTGAATTAAAAGGAAATAAAAAAAACATCGTTCAACATAACTCATAAAATAACATTTCTTCAAAACGCATTCATGGTCAAAGGCTTAGACAGAAAATGTATAAGGAAACGTATTTCCAACATTTTCCCTAAAAACATTGCTTTTGTAACGTTTGAATTTGTATTCAGCCTCTCTGAAGCACATCTTAGCGCGCAAAAGCAAACGAGTGGCAAATTAAATTGTTTCCTCTCCGAGAATCGTCTCGAATAATCGAGAATAATCGAGAAAATTGAAAGAGGTTATATACGAAGTGACAGAATCAGTAGCCACGATCCTAGGTAAAAAAAAAAGAAGGAAAAGGTTAAAACGACGCAACAACGATTGACGGCAAACGTCCAAGTCGCGAAATAGAATCGACGGAAATCGCTCGACAACTCGAGACGACGAAGGGAAGAATTCGGTTGGATCGCGCGGGAAGGTAGGATCGCGGCAGGATCCGACGATTGATAAAAAGAGGGGCGTTCCTCGGGGAAAAATGGCCGTCCCCCTGTGGGTGTCCTCGGGAACCCATCTCCACTCACACCATCGCACCGAACGAACCTAACCTCTCTACGTAGGCGGCGCGTGTATCGATCTCGCGTGCGCGCACGTGTGTGCGTGCGTAACCGCGTCCCGCCGGAAAATCGGGAAATCGACACACCGCGATGACACGACGCTGGGGACCGAAGAGTTGGCTCGCGGGTTACGTTAAAATTGCGCCAATTCCGAACCGAACCGATCTCCGGATCGCAGGAGACCCGAAGTTTGGCCGATTCGACGATAAGTTTGAAAGTGCGGACGCGCGCCGCGACGAGCAGCGTCGGCGGCGTCCGCTCGGCGGAACAGGGAGGGAGCCGAAAGCCCGCGCGAAAATTTTGCCGACGCGAACCTCGCCCCGCGACCGGTGATCGAGTTGTTGAGTGGACTTACCATTTTACGAATTCGGCGCTCCGCCCTCCTCGTCTCGATCGAAGGGAACCGCCGCGAACGGCCGTCCATCCAGCGGTCACTCGGGAGCTTGCTCACGGGCCGGCTTGCGCGTTCGCCTCCTGTGCTGCCCCTCGTGGAGAACTGCGGAGAATCCCGGCAGCTTACATATTCCGGCACTTCTCGATCGTGCTGCCCCCTACCGCCCATTAATTCCAGCTTATGCATTTGGACACCATAAACATTTATGAATTGCGGTAATTAAATATCGTGAGTTAATCCATTTAACATGAGTAATTTAAAAGTAACAAACGTAACCTCCTTTAGTGTAAAACTTAGTCGTAACATTCTCGGTTATAGTACCCGACCTTAAATTCTCGAGAATTTAAAAACACTACTCGTATGTACTTCGGTAACTTCCGTATCGACTGATCGAATCGAGTCGTACGTCGACCGCGAAAATTTGAATGCGTTAAAATAGTTGATATAAGAAAGTCTTGTAATAGATAAGGAATAAAGGGAATATTAAAGAAAATTTCGATCTTCAATTCTTTATATATAAGAGTTAATGACATAGCTGTGAACACACTGATAGCCATAAATGGAAAAAGATGTGACAAGCTGATTGATGTCTCGTGGCATTAAGATCGATTTAGACCTTAAAAAGCTATGAATGTAGGGTCTCTGATTATTGTTATTCCGCTTTGGAATTACATGTGCAAAGAAAAATAGGTAGAAACAGACGTATATATGCAGGTCCACGAAACTTTGCATGTATAGGTTGTCTACAAGTTGACTATACTTGGACTACACGCTCTGAAAAGACGAGCCGGAACAGTCGTAGGAAAGAGGAATTGGAGGATTTAATATTTGTGTTAAGATGAATAAAAACGGAGATGTCAAAGCTCAGCGCCCGAAAAGAACATTATGGGTCGACAAACATCGACCTGCAACTCTGGATAAACTGGATTACCATTTGATACAGGCGAAACAGTTAAAGAACATGGTAAAATTCTGCTGCAACTTTGGTTAAATCCTTAGTCAAAAGTAAGGTTATGTTTCCCATTACCCGCCAAAAATTGGCGTCGAGTATATTTCATTTGAAAACACGAATTGACCATTGGTATGAATACAATGTCATGGAAATCAGTCAATCTAAAGTACATTAAGATTTTAATGTAAATAATAGGTAATGCCATTCAGAGCTGTATCATAAATGGTTTAACCTGTTTGGTATAAAAAATAAAATTTGTTCTCTAAATTTTTTGTTTCTCTAATTTTTTCACTGTATGGTATAATTCAGAATATTAATTTACATTTTTCTCTGTAGTGCGTTACTTTGTTATCTTTTTCATTAATTAGGTTGATCAAGGAGACTTCCCACATTTATTGATTTATGGGCCACCGGGCGCTGGCAAGAAAACACGAATAAGATGTATCATTCGGGAGCTCTATGGCAGCGGTGTTGAAAAATTAAGAAATGAAATTATGAATTTCGAGGTAACGATTTGAATATACAATTACATTTATAAATCTTATGTGACATGTTATTTATTACAGACACCATCCAAGAAAAAAATAAGTATATTAACGCTGAGCAGTAATTATCACATTGAAGTGAATCCCAGTGATGTGGGCATAAATGATAGAGTCGTTATTATGGATCTTGTTAAAACTACAGCACAAACTCATCAAATTAATACTGCAGGTCAAAGAGAGTTTAAAGGTATTATTGCTTTGGTAAAAATGATAGTTTATTTTTAAATTGCAATATTATCGAATTGTTACATGTCAGAATATACTAATTAAATAATTTTTTTGCTCAGTTGTTCTATTAACAAATGTGGATGGCTTAACAAAGGATGCACAACACGCATTACGCCGAACAATGGAGAAATATGTTTCAACTTGCCGGTTGATACTTTGTGCCAGTTCCATGTCACGTGTATTGCCTGCAATTCGCTCTCGTTGCCTGGGGATCCGAGTACCGGCACCAAAAAAAGATGAGATTGTTGATATTTTACAAAAAATTGCGAAAGCGGAAAAGTTAAGACTACCGGATGAATTAGCCAGGAGAATTGCAGATGCTAGCGACAGAAATTTGAGGCGTGCAATTCTGATGTTTGAAGCCTGTAGAGTTGAACAGTATGTCATCCATTATATTTCAACCTTTTACAATAATTCCCTGTCTTAATTCTTTCCTTCGTTTCTCTGATAACATCTTCATGTTTATATAATTAGAGAACATTAATATTTTTTACTTTGATTTAGATATCCCCTTAGTCCAGAACAAAACATTGTTTTGCCAGACTGGGAAGTTTACATTCGAAACACTGCAAGCATGATGGTGAAGTCTCAATCAGTGGAAACACTCTCTGAAGTACGGAATAAATTCTACGAGCTTTTAACGCATTGTGTACCACACGATGTTATCTTTAAAGGATTGTTAAAAGAATGTATTAAGAATTGCGATCTCCAGTTAAAGAACACTATTGCTAATTATGCAGCTGAATACGAGTTCAGACTACGTTGTGGTTCAAAAGCTATTATTCATTTGGAAAGCTTTGCAGCTCGTTTTATGACTGAGTATAAACGATTTATGGAGTCTACGTTGGAAAATTTCTAACTTGCTCCTAACATGATTCCGTGCAGATTTTTGCAATGAGATGTACTATGATCCGCCTAGGATAATGCATGTGAATTAATGAACTATTGAATTCTCGCCATTAACATACCACTTTGGTTACTTCAAAATAATAGATAAACCGCTTAATTAAACAAAATATTCATTTTTAACTTTTTAATTTAAAGTACATACTACATTCTTTACAAGAAATATATAAATTAAGTATAGAACTGATCTTGAAATTGTGTTTCAAACCTCTTAAATATCCATTAACTCAAAGACAGGCCAGTGCAAGTGCACTTACAATTCCTAAAGCAACGACTGTATAACCAGTGCTGTAGACTTGTTTAATCGTCAGGAACATTCCTAAGTCCCAGCACTAAAAATTTGAAAATCAAATGTGGCATTATGAAGAAATGAAATAACTTGTATCTGTAAATTGTTATGTGATAATTAATTGGATTACATCACTTACCAAATGTCGAATTCCATTAAAAAAGTGATACGTAGCAGGCAAGGCCAGTATGTATTTGCTAACAAACAATACAGCTGATGGAAGGCATAATGAGTGTATCGTGTCGATAACACAAGGCATTCCTCCTGGTACAAACAAAGTACCTAAAAATGAAAATATAAATTAGCATTATTTTAATACGTCTATGCTTAATCAACGTACAATATTGAAGCACTGTATTTACAAAGTTCTACATTTATTTCTACTATCAGAAACTGCAAGTAACAATTTTCACATTAATAAGTGCGTTATCAATTTAAGCAGTTCTTTCGTTTCTAAACGTGACTGATTGTATTTTACCTAGGCCAAAGAGCATGGCATACGACGAGAGAACCATTCCCGTGGCTCGGTGTGTAATCGAGAGTAGAGCCGTTAGTTGTACTTGATATATTGTCAAATGTGGTGACATAGGTCGTTTAAGTCGCATATTCTTTTCATCGTGACTTTCACATACTGCAGGAGAAGCAGGAGCTGATTTTGCCGCTGTAGTTTTTAGCAGGCTGTGAAAAAGTACAGGAATAATCCATAACATATAAAATGCATCAATTGGTTAAGTAAAAATTACAATAATTACATAACCATTTACCTGGTCGTATATAAGCCGCGCAGTTGATGAAGATCAAGACTGCGACGGCACAATAATCTATAAGGAAAAGTATTCAAGAATATTATGCAAAACTCAAATCTAGGCGAAAATTAAAACAGGAGTCATAAAAAGGTTCTTGCAGAGAAAAGAGATACCTGGTGTAGGAAAGCGCCATTTCTTATAATAGTTGATTATTAATTATTTAAGAAAATGCGCCATGCACCAGAAATTTGATACTGCAGACTTTTTCGAAAATTCTTCAACCGTACGTTTTTTTCTATTTCTTCGAATACTCAGATTTTTAAGGAGTCAGCGATTGAGATCTTCAAGTCGTCTCAACAGCTGATTGATGGCGCCATTGTAAACAGCATTTACAGTGGCGCCATCATCGGTCGCCAATGGGAGGAATCAGGTGGCCAGTACACGAGCTGCCCGCATTCTCCACTAAAGGCAGCACTGAACGCAATCGCGCGCATGCGCAATACAGAGATTAGTTGGGAGATATTAATAGATATTACAAAAAAATTTCGCCTGAAGGGTAGTTCACTATTGACAATATTGTTCATTATTGAATAATATTGTTTTTTCACCGTCTTTATACAAATAACGTTTATGCAGTTTCGTCGAAATTCCTCAACTGCTTCTACGGAAATTAATATAAGAATCGAATTTTCGCCAAACTTTGGGGGGTTGTTTCACCCCTTAAATGTGGACCATTGCAGATAAAAAAAAAACACGTGTCTCTTAGATTTTTGTGTTCTTCAACATATATGAAAATCAATAAGATCGGCGGCGGACACATGGGAATGTTTCCTTTCCAGATATCTGGAGGATAGCTACCCGGAAGTATGAAAAATTGCGCATAATTAATTTAAATTGTAACCTGAAATAATGCTAAGTAATAATCTTACTATAAAGTAGTTTTCCAGGTACGGCGCATTATTTAAAAACTCATGCTTCCAGATTTTGGTAGTCAATATTTATAATTCAAAGACTACAGCAAAAAGTAACGTTTAAATCCAGGTTGTTATATAATGACAAAAATGAGACTATTTTTCAGCCCTTCTTTATGAAGATGTAATTGATTAAACATTTTTCATTTCAGTAAGCATCTTGAGGGCAAGTATTCCATTTAATCTCCGCGCTGCTTCATAGAATTATCGGTGGTATCAATTCATTCTCGTCCAATTTTTATGATATTGATTTCTTTCTGGTCTAAAGGAAAGAAGTCTTCGTTATAAGCGTTTAAGCTTTTATTGATCGATTTATTACATGATTCCACTTACAATAGGTCTAATGTAAGTCAATAATCATAATAATAAATAGAGGGTTTCAGCATTAATCGCACGCCCCAATAGTAAACGGTGGAACGAAAGAACTTGCGCAGATTTACCTTCATATAATAACTTACAAATAAATACACGAACTTACATATCTTTTAGTGCAGGGGCGAACGTCTCGGTCTCCCTCGCGCCTCCTTTCATCTTTATCTTTCTCTTTGGTAATCAGATCGCCAATATTTGTGGGTCCCTTCCCCTTGGGCAAGCTCTCCCTCTCCCTCCGCTGATTTTAAACTTAGGTTAATATTAAATTTATTTATATATATACTATATTTATATATATATAATTAATTGTATTCTCTCTCTCGCGCTCTCTCTCCCTCTCTTTTGCTTCGTGTCTTTCTCCCTGTCCATCGTGACTCTTCCGTCATCCCCTTCGGCTTTTGTTAACAATTCCGAACCACTTCCTTCTCGCTTATCAACTGTTTTTAATAATCTTATCATTTTATATCCACCTCCGGGCTGATTATTAATCTGCTGCTTTGCCGCCGATTATCGTAGGAGATCCTGAATTATCAATACACCTTACGGATTATAATCGTTACGTTGTACCGTAATTGATAACAAAATAAAACTATCAATTGCTACAACAGTCAGCAAGCGGAAACGGTAACGCTGGTCACTCTTCCTCCTCTTTTCTCTCTCTTTCTCTCTCGCCCTCTCCCACTTTCTGACTAGAATCAAGTCGGGAAATAAATCGCAATGCTTCCCCGCCTTATTTTTTTCTCTCATCTCTCTATTCGGGAAATGAAAATGCAAAATCGCGCGAGAGTCGACGGACTAGAAAATCATCGAATACGTCCCCTTTAGGGGGCATAAAAAAAATACCGTGATAAGAGGAATGTACAATTGCGAAGCTCGTCCTCGCAGCTGAGGCGAAATCCGAAGCACGGTGGAGCTTGCAATCGAAGTTGCGTACGGATTTATTTTATTTGGTATCCTGTAAATGCATGAAATCGGTTAATAGAGGTCTTGTCCGATCGAGGGAGCTTCGGCAACAATGCTCCTAAGTAACGCATTACATTTAGACGCTAACGTTTCTTTAGTCAATTTTTATTTTACTCGTTGCGCCGGAATTGAAGGATGTACGCATGATCACAATTGTCAGCTCTACCGTGCGAAGTGACGATCAGGAATGACTCAACGAGAACTTAACAATTATCGAAGTCAGCAGGCATGGGCTCTACTGTTAAAATGACAGAGGCAAGAGTTCATCTGAGATTCGCTCCAGGTTTACGTAAATAACATTTCTTGGGCGAGCCGTCGAGTCCTCCGGTTAGCCTCACCTTTTAACTAAGAGCTGCTTGCAAACCAGACCGGAGAACTCGACGAACTTTATAAATTGCCTCGAGTTAGCGACACGCGAATAAGCTGTTGCCAGCTCGCGGTAAATTATTTCGCTACATATAAAAATATCTAGTGAACGAGAAATCATATGGAAAACTTAACAACTATGAAAACTACTAGGAGTACGAGGTGTCCCAGAACCCGGGGGTTTCAGTGCCACAGTCGTGATCCTCGTGAAATTCTGAACGAAAAATGTCTTTGCAGGATTTCTCTATCACCCCGCAGTTTCGAGATATTCTGGATTTATGGTTGACCTTGAAATCTCGAGCTTGGCGTCGTGGAGGGGGCACGGCCAATGGGCGGAACGCATTCGGCCTCGTTTCGTCCAATCACAGCGCAGGACCCCCCACCACCGAAACTCCCGCTCCGGTCAATACTAATTCCGAAATATCTCGCGACTGCGAAGAGATGGAAAAATTGTGCAAAGACATTTTCTCCTCAGAATTGCACGAGGAACGTGATCCCGGCATCGAAATGCCGCCTTTTCCGGGACATCTCGTATGCACATCCCTTCTGCGATCGCTCCGACGTTCTCGCAGCATCCACACACATGCGCGCGTTCTCTATCTCTCCTCTCCATTTGCGCATAAATACATGTATAATCGATAAAACAGTTCTCTACTTTCCACTCACTCATAGTCTCATTCGCACCTCTCCTCGGGTATATATGTACACTCTTGCTCGATAAATGAACCGGTGCGTCTACGATAACGAGCTCGAAACGAAAGACCGTGAAAAAACGAGTTTTTTTACAGCAACGAGATGTTAACGCGTGAAAACCCCCTTCCGCCCTGGCTAACGAAATAAGATTCCTCTTAGCCTTATTAATTTCTGTGTTCATTTTTTGCTTCTCCTTCCGAAACCACTTCCCAGCGCCATTTTCCTGGCCCCCGTCTTCATCTCCGAGGCCATTCGACTAACCGAATCGTGAGCTTGGCAAGTTCGGTGGAGGTCTTAGCAAGAAAAGAAAAAAGGAAAAACTTGAACCCCACCAAATTCACGAGCCTCCCACCTTCGAATGTCAAGGAAGCGAGACGCTCGTGCGTGTGTACGAGCGCGGAAACTCGTAGTTTGCGATTTTTATTATTTTCTTCTTCTTTTTTTTTTTCTCTCGCGGGTTCTCTATCGGTATCCTTGGGAGAGAAGTGCCGAAGTCTCGCAGAGGAACCATACAAGGGTCTCAGATGTACGTGTGATCATTGATACCGAATCTCTGTGCTCTGTTTGAGATTTTTCCGCAATTCTTAAGGGGATGTGAAAGTGGCATGCGAAAGCTCAATCGTTCATAAAACATTTCCACGAGCTGGGTGTCTCAAATCGTTTCATACTTTAAATCGTGAATACGGAGACTCTAAGTTAGGTCCTGAAACTCGCGAAATTTCATTTTTTATAAACTATTTTTAAAATTCCTATAAACAAATTTGAAAGGAATTGAAATTTAATGAGTTTCGGGACCTTCCTTATAGTCTTCCTAATCACGTTGTAAAGTTTCAAATCATTCGGTAAACCGAGTAGGGAGAAAAGTTTTATAAAGAAAACCTCTTCGAGGCCACTTTCACATCACCTTAAGCACCTCTTACGGTTTAGCTTTTTGGGCGTTCGTCGTCGAGTCTGGCGAAGCGAGGATTATTATATAGCTTCCGTGTAACATTTAAATGTCGAATAAAGCTTAGTTACTCCCCGAGTCGTGTGCTTGGAGTGTTTGGATAGGTCGATCTCGAGAAATCGGTCGACCTTTCAACCTGCGCCTAAGTCAGGTCGAAGACCATTGAGTATTTCGGGGCGACCGTCGGTCGCTCTGATTTCTTATTGCACTTTTCATCAGCGTTCCCAGCCGCATTTTCTAAATCCTCCTTCCCCGAGGAAGCGAGAGCTTTCGATTGACACCCCTCAATATTAGTCAACACTTTGCGGTAATAGGAATTATTGTAAAGTAGATTACAGCCGAGCTGGCATTGAGCAGACGTTACTGAATTCCGAGAGTTCCGTTCCGTTCTAACGAATTTTCAGTCCATTCGTTGACGTACAAGCATGTCTAGGAGGTCAATTCCCTGGTACTCGTCTGGTACCAGAAACTACGAATTTTTTTAACGAAAAACAAAGGGCGACAATAGCGATGAAAATGTCTATCCAATTCCATCTTTACGGAAGCTTCGAGTTCTTTGCGTTCTCCTTTCCTCTATGTAAACTTACATAAAGATGTAGCGAACGGCTTCGAGAACGCCAGATCATGATTGTTCGAGTTCCGTCCATTATTTTCGGCTATATTCCCCTTCGAATATCGATTATTTACAAACTTTATACACCACGTCGACAAAAAGAACTAATCCCTAGGTAAGATGGCGAGCTCGGACACGTGCTGCTGTCTACTATTGCATTTTTACCTCTCGCGGTATTGCCAACGCTAGCGAAAATACTGTGAGCACGCGGCTCCATTTTGTACCAAAAACCTAAGTATAATAACCGCAAAGTATTAACGAATATTGTCATCTGCAAGTATCAATTCCCTCGAGCGATACCTCCCGATTATCCGCCAAGCGGAGCGTTCTCCAAGATGGCGGCCACCCCTCAGTAATCAGCGTACTCGGAAAAAGGAAATATAGCTGCCCGAATGTACAATCTCGAACGCCGCCCCATCCTAATCCCTTCAGGAATGAACCTGAAACCTTAGTTGTCCCTAAAATCCCGGTGATTCTAATGAAAATCTTAATTCCACGGAAACGTTCGGTTGGAGGTGACGTTTCTCTCGGTGTGTGCATTCCGCAAGCGACTCATTTCGAGGAGCGTTTCTGCAGAAACGTCCGAAGAGACGCGACTGCGCGCTTCTGCACGTAGAAAATACAGTCAATTCCGAGAAAGGATTCGTGTGACACATCCAGCAAGTACTCGAGTCATTCCGCGATGTTAGGAGTTCTCCAAAATATGGAGAACTCCCAATACCGATTCATAGGACCTGGGAGCGTCTCTTCTCGGGAAGCGTTTCTCCAGAAACGACCGGAGAGACTCCTCTCCGGTTTCGTGCGTACGAGGTAACCGGAGATATCGCAGTCTCCTAGCAGGCCTGTGAAAGCTAGTCGAGGAACTAACGAATCTTCGCACCTTATTCCGACGTCTTAATAGTTAAAAACGGGATCGCCTCTTGGGAATCGTCCATGGAAACGACGAGCGGTCCCAGGGGGCGCTGGCACCTCCGTCGTTCCCGAAGGATTCCGCGGTTCATTGGTTCTTTTACTCGAAGACTACTCAAAATTGGAGACTACAGATGTCTTGGGACTCAAGGGCTGTGTACGAGCGACGAAGAATCTTCTTCGAGGCTCGCGAAACGACGCTCGTCACCTCGGCCAACGAGTCGATCACTCACTTGGCCGGAGTTTGCGTTTCCGGGGGTGGCGCTAGCGTAATCGGCGTCAATAATGGTCCAGGCCCTTTGCGAGCCAATTTTGACCTAGAAGAAAACAACCCCCTTCAGTATCTCCACTTCCAAATGAAAATAAAAAGGGATCTCCCCCCAAACACTCTAAAAAATTCCTTAAAACTATGTTAACGAGACTTCAAAATGGCGGCGGCAACCCACCTGATCTGACCAGCCAGAAGAGGATTGATGGCATAGAGCCAGTCGTAAACTTCCTTGTCTCCGAGAGTCTGCAGAAGGTACCCTCGGTGTTTGGTGACGACGCTGGAACAAGGGTATCGGATAAATCTCAGTGTTTCCAGATGAAACTGCTAGAAAGGGAATTCCCGTCCTATTGTTGTATACACCTGGAGTTAAGGTAACTCGGCAGTACCTGAAGGTGTTGGGTACTTTGACCATAGCCAGCTGGTCTTCCGAGTACTCGACTTGAGCTGTGGCAAGGTTGATGAGTGCCCGCTCAACAGGGTCCTTCTCCTCCCTGAAGATGAAGACGTACGGTCTGCGAACGGCCTAGAAGTACCAAAAGAATGGTCGATGGGACTAACAGATGAGAGTAGAATTTAGGATGGAAGGATCCTTTCTTCACGTACCACCCATCGCTTTTTCCAACCATTGGTCTTATGCTCGAGGACGTTGAGGTACCCTTTCCTGGCGATCACCGGGCTGATTCGGATCTCTTCAACTTCTGGGACATAGAGGACGAGGCTTTCTTTCAAAGGAGAGGAAGAGCCCAAGGGAGCCGGGGCCATGGTGTTGGTCTGGCTTGCAGATTCTCCCGCCATGATGCTGTCCTGGAGCTCCTGAAGTCTCGCGCGCTCCGGAGAGCTCAACCTAAAGATGCACGACTTAGAGGTGGCGCCCAGAACAATTCCTGTGGACTAAGAAGGCAACACTCCTCCATAACCCGGACCTCCTTCAACAAACCAGCGGTTGTCTTCCAGAAGCTTTTCTATCCTAAGATCCTGAGTGACGTGACCATTTTCGGTTGAAAACGTAGATTGAAAACACTCAAGTGAGAAGCGTTTATTTCTACGCACTCTATTAAGCGTTCTGCGGAGCTTGCTCAGGCGTGTGACAATTTCACCGGAAGTTGCCGAATGGGTGCAGCTCGGTAGAGTGAAAAGTATTTACCGGAAAGCGTCCCCGACTCTAGCAGTGATCAATTGGAAATTAACTGAAAAAAAATGAATGGATGAACAGGATGTAAATCCTTGAAATTCCTGTGAGCTCGCTTGAAAGTACTCGGTAATATAGGAACCACCTGCCTGGAAGCCGGAAGACATTTAAAGCATGACATATCTGAGGACAACCGCAGCGAGGCATGTTCGGGTACATGTGGAGGGTTACCTGAAGATTTAGAAGGCGGGAGTATACTGACTCTTGGGAAGAGGAGGAAACTACGGACGACATCATCGAGGCCGACATGTCCGCGATGGTGTCCTCCCCAGGGGAGACGTCGGACAATACAATGGGCTCCTTGCTGGGGATTCTTCCTTGGATCAGCTTGATGTACTTCGTGGCCAATTCGCGTTCTCTTTCCGTCATCTCCCAGGGCTCGTAAACGTCTTTGCTCGTCGACCTCTTCAGCTTCACCGGGCTGGCATGAGGCTCGTTTGTTGCCTTCGCCACCATATTACAGACTTCCTAAAATATAAAATAATAAAAGGATCAACGACAATCCCCCACTTCGTCGCCTAGTTGTTTTTTCATTTGGTATCTCGGCGTACTTTTTCGCTCTTTGTGAAGTCGTGCGACGTCTTGTTGCAGAGAGGGATTTTGTCGATGCCGAGTTTCTCTCGCAGCAGAAGAGTGTGTCTGACCCTCTCGACTTCTTCGAGCCTGGTCAGCTTCTCCAATTCCCACTGGTGGTCGAAGATGAGGCTGTCTCCTCGAGGTCTCCATCCGTGGAGGTTCTCTTCGCCTCTCACGTAGGTGGAACTGGTGTCAAGGACACGTCGTTGTCGCCGTTGCACACCTAAACCCAGAACCACCGTGCCATCGTAAATCCGAACACAGATACATTAAAGAGAAACATCGGTGAAGATCCGACTAAAATCTGCATAAGCAAGATCGTTCTCTGTATTCTTATTCCTCCAGCTACGTCACACCTGTATGGTGGATGTAATTACTTGCAACTTCAACGACGCCTCTCTTCAAGTCGTAGCCACGCCAAATAAAGAAGAGGAACAAAGCCAGGGACGAAGTAGGATATTTCCAGGAGTGTCGAGGTGTCTTCTTCAGAAATAATTCTCCCTGTTGAAGTCCGCTGAGAAATTTTTCAACCGAGCACCAACGACGGATCGGGATCAGGAAGTAGGATGTGCGTCGGATAGGACAAACCTGGACTACCTGCTTCGGATGAGCGACGAAGGACTAATTCGTAGACTCCACTGAATCTGTTGGCCTCTTGGTTGCGATAGGTGCCACTGAAAAGATGCTTCAGGGACCTGGGGCCAACCCTAGCGTCCCTTCCGTAGATGATCATGCTGAGATCTTTCGTGATAATAGCCGGTCGTCCACAGTTCTCAAGCTGGAACATACAAATTTATCTTCACTCCTTTGTCTCCAAACACAATACATTAAATATGGAACGAAATCGTTCCAGTATTCATTTTACAAGAAGTAAGTCCAGTTTCAATGCTATGACCCCGGTTTATACGTACTTCAAGGTACGCAGAGATGGTCATGAATATCTGTTCGCCATAGGCGGTGACCCGGTTGAGCAAGGCAGAATTATGCAGCGAACTGTCCCAGGCAGCTTCGAATCTGAACATGCAGCGATCATCCCCAGGGACTTCCAGGTATTCCCCTGGGAAGAGACCGAGCGAGAGAACCGACGAGTCGTTGTCTTCCTCCTCTGGTTCTGGGGTGTTCCTGATGCGCCCGACTACGAGCTCCCTCACATCCTTCCACCGTAATTCGGGGGCATGTTCGTGGACAATGGTGATGCGGATCCTTCTTTGGATTCCCTGATGAAGGAGGAACAATCCCCGACATGGAAGGTCGTCGCTGTGGTCCACCACCGATGGCACGTATTCTCCATTGGGAGCCAACTCGCAGATTTCGAACCACACCAGGACGTCGTACTTGGCATGTACGTGCGATGTGCTGGGAGATGGTAAAACACTGCCAAACTTCGGTGACCTAACTGGCTGGCTGATGGGAATCGATGGCGGAAGCATCCTCTTTGGTGGTTGTCTTACGCTGCTAACAAGAAATAATTTATCATACAAATCAAACTCTCGACTAATAGGTGTAACTAGAATTCTTTTCCCGTAAGAAACCTGAGAGTAGTCTAAAGAGACACATACTAGTCTAGCTTTGCATCTTTGTGCAGAGGGTGTTGCTGGTAATGGCCGAAGACCTCAAAGACGATCGGCTGAGTCTTCAGGTACTCCAAGAATGACTTCGTAACCGTAACGGTGATCTGCAAAAGGAGATGAAATAATTGAAATCTCTGTCCTCAGGTAGATCTTCACTTCTTCGCTTTCGAACTTACGTTTTGTACGTGATAGAACCCTGGCGAGTTCCCTTTCCCGGTGTTCTTCACCGGCTCCGTGGAGAAGGCCTCGTCGTGGCGGTGCAAGAAGCTGAAGATATAACGTAATGCAGTCATGAAAATGAAAGAAAGGGGTATTATGAATTACCTTTACATGAAGGCTACTCACTTGAATTGGCAGAAGATGTCTGCGTATTCCGTCGCAATGCCCATTGCCTGAAGAACGGTGACTCTGAAGGTGAACTCGTGTCCAGGTTGGAGATGATCCGGTAGTTCTTCTTCTTTCATGTCACTGGCAACGGAGCTGTCTCCTCTTCCGCTATCTGCATCGCCAACTTCCTCGTCGTCCTTTAGATCCTTGCCCTCTGTCTGGCCCTCCACGACCCGCTCTTCCTGAAGGATCTGCTGACTCTTCTCTAAATTCTGGGTGAGCAGGGTGTTCCACTTGCTCTGCCTCTGGCCGCCAAAGAGGTCGTCTTCGAAGGAGATTCGAGCCGACTGTCTGACTCCACTCGAGTATTCACTGTTTTCCTCTTCTGGAAAAATGTCAGGTCAAAGTTGTGTCGAAACGAAAAGGGAAACGGTGCCCGAGAGCGAAACCTACCGACGACTGCCTGAACTGCCACTCTGAGATATCCCTTCACGTCTCCCTTTTCGTTGACTATTGCTACTTTGTGGATCAACGGCACTGGATACATCAGATTACTCAGGTAGACGAAAGACCTGGAAGAAGATTATAGAGTGGAAAAACATCTCTCGATGGAAGATGCTTAGGTAAAATAGTTAAAACAATTTATCTCACCTGCCGACCATCCGGAACCAGGGGAACCTGTCGTAGAAGGGATCACCACCGGTGATGGTTTCAATATTGTAATCCGGAGACGTAGGCGAGAGTTCGGCCTCGTTGTGGTACATCTCCCTCATCAGCTCCAATCTTTGCCTGAGAAAAGAAAAATGGAAAATATTAAAACATTTATAATCACTTTCCAGACCCACCGATGGAGCTTATCTAAGTTACATGCAATACGGATGTGTCCAAGAAAGCTTGCACTCCAGGATAAATTATCGTCCAAGCAAAACCGTGAATCTTCAAAATCGACAGATTTTATCTAGGTTCGTCCTTAAATCGACCCAGGCACATTTTAGCGTTCCCCAAACTCCTTCCGGCTCGCATCATGCCGCACTTTAAAAGCTCACACAAAATTGCAGCGACCTCTACAGAGTACAGAATTATCACCAGGATATTTGAAGAATCCCCCTACAGGATTTCTCAACATACTCGAAGCATCCTGCATATCGATTACATTCATAATAGATAATAAATTAATCCATAGAGCATAGTTTAGATACAGTCAAGGCGTCTTAAGGGCATCGTCGTACTATGTTGCGACATCCATGGGCTTTTTATTCCTTCTTTTATTTTTTATTAGTCCGGAGAATCGCGCCTCCGTAAGCAATTATGCAGTGCAGTCGAAGAGATTTTAGAGGAAAGTCAAATCGCCAGATCTTATCCAGAGAGAAGAGTGCTTGGTGATTGATGGCCGGCAAAGCAGAGGCAGATCTATCGAGTACAAGACTCCGTTTCCTCGCGACCTTATGACATGATACTTTTCCTACTTCCTTCCGATTTCTAATGACCCGAAGCGAAGTCGATGGGAATAAGTTTGGTACTCGATTGTGTTTTTTAGGGCGTTTAAAGCGCGACCGAGCACCAACCTCGAAGGCAAAAGATTTGCGAGCGAGAACTTCTGATTAGAGTAGACCGTAAGGCATTGGAAAATATCCTCTTTGGCCTCCGGAGTGCTGGGACTCAAGTCTTCATTGTATATGTGTCGCATCAGCTCCAAGCGCTGTCTACAAGTCAACATTGATATATTTCCGTTAGTGGTGGTTCGCCATTTTCGATCGTCGACGATCAACATTAGGTGCTCGTAATAGCCGCACTTCGTCGTATCTTTCAGGGTTACGCAATTAATCGGTTGTGTCGAATTTCACTTAACATGTAAGACTTCAAGGATAAGAGAAAATTGCCACGAAGTTTGAAATCAGAGGACAACTCGATCTTCGACGTCGAAGAATCATCTTGCCGCGAACTTCCACTTCTTCGCGGGGCGTTAATTACGATCTATTCCAATGAGTCGTCTACTCCACTTCAGGGTTCTTCGGCAAGGTTTATTTCCCCTTTGATGTCCTCGGTAAATGTCCTCACCTCAGTTTATCAAGGGTCCAGTAATGCGTGGCTCCGTTCTTCGTGTCTTGCACCTCGACGGCCACGATGGTTCGTGGGAAGGGTCTCTCTTCTTCCTCGTCTTCATCTACTGCGGGTAGAAGATCCGGCGGCAGCGGGGAATAGAGGGTATCCGTCAACAGGGTAAACTGGAATTGAACCTAAAAAGGTGATCGTTAGACACGTTAGTCAGTATTTAATTTCTTTGACTGCAAAGTATATATGTTGTGGGATGTATTTTTGGGTACCTTCTTCTTGAGCTCGACGGATATGGCGTTGGCTTCCTTCAGGAAGATAGCGTTGCCCCAGAGATCATCTCGAAGACTGGTGAACTGATGGTACTTCCACTTGCGGAAGGCCCACGCAGCCAGTTGGAACTCGCGTTCGGTCCAGTTGCTCTCTGCGTCAAACAATGGGTTGACTGAAATGCAAGCCATCCACAGGCAAAACAGTCAGAAAAGCCAAGCGTCACTGATCTTTTGATGATTGGTCCGCTAAAGGCCACTTGCGACAATCAACGAGGCTTATGTCTTCGGCTAAGCCCGCAAGAAATGTTGCAAATCCCTTTAACTGGGCCTGTGGAAGCTCGAGTGTCTCCCCAACATTGAAACCAAGGTTCCAGTCAGGACGAAGACTATCGGAACTGATGAGTTCCCTGGTCTCATGAGGCTACGACTGTCAACGAATGATTACAATGGATTGAGCAAATGGTTCCATACTCACCGAAGATATCTTCTTCGATGTTGTTGAAGTCTTCCGGGGTGTAGCTGCTGTACATCGACATCGTCATGCTCTGCTCCTCCACCTGTTTCTGCAAGGCGTCTATCCGAGCCTCGTAATTCTACAAAGGGAAGTATTTCAATCTAACGATCACCTTAAACCATCAGCCCAGTTGTAACAATAACAAGGGAAGTACAAGAGGGCGGACCTTTCTTTGTTCCTCGAAGAACTGATCAGCCTCCTCCTTCTCCTTGCGGAATTGCTCTTCCAGGACGAGCAATCTCTTCTCCATTTCTGCCTTCAGATCGATGCCCTGCTTTTCTAGGAGTTCAATCTGGGCGAAGTTCCAATCTACTGTCTCTCCATTTGCGGGAGTCTCTGCCGGGGAATTCTTCTCTCGTCTCTCCCGAACTGGAAGATGGAAATTGATTTATTTTTTTAATTGATTTTGAAGAATTTCCTCAGCAACCATTGACTACCTTGATCGGGATGGTTGAACCTGAAGACATGGTTCTTCCCGAGAATGACCCTAGAGCCTGTCCTCAGGATGACGGGTTCCGTCACCTCCCGGCCATTAACATAAATCAAAGCCCCCTTTTTCGGCATTAGAGTAATCACGCCTTCGTGGTTCTCGAAGACGCAGTGCTCGCTCAGGATATGAGGACCGCAGAGCTGAATATCCTGAGGAATGTTGGCTTCGGCCGAGCCAATCCTTGTGAAACCATCCTTTATATAGTAGATCAGACACTCCGACATCAACGGATCTTCGTTAAGGTTCACGAGATGAGGCGTCTTCTTCGGCGAGAAGACGCCAACGGTGACGCCATCTTCTTTCACGGCGACTCCCATCTCCGCGAAAACCGCCTCGCGTTGAAGACGAATGGCTTCTGTTCGCTTCAATTTCTGCTCCCATGTCTCGTTCAGTTCTACGAAAGAGAGCCAAACAGTAATGATCTCCCATTGAAGGTCTTCTACACCTTTGTCTTAGGGTAATTCACCTGCTATCAGTTTTTCCGAAGCCTGAAGTTGGTCCACAGCTTCTTCAGCAATGGTCGAGCCAGGATGAGACGGAATCCTTTGGTGAGGCTCTTTGAAGTCATCTTCGCGTTTCGTGGACTTGATGATCGACTCGTCCCCTGGGCAGAAAAAATTCCTCATAGAAAATGCGACTTCCTTTTAAATTATTTATCAACATTCGTGGAGTCCAGTGGCGTCAGTAATCGTTAATAAAGTTACTCCAAGAGAGTTCCGCGTTACATCTCGATGCTGAAGTCACCGAACCCCCAAGAGACACTGAAAGCCAAAATGGAAGCTCCACATCGTGACTTCTCCTGTACTCTGAGAGACTATTCGAAGAGTGGACTCTTTCGAAGAATCTGCTCCGTAATTGATCACTATTTTTGGCGTTTAGTGCGTCGATAGCTTGTCATGCAACGTAGTTGTGGAAAGAAGCGACGCATCTTTTTCCCGCACCCTTTGCCACTCGAAGATGCACAAACCGGTCGATAGGTTTATCCGAATACTACAGCTACGATCTATCGATACTTTTACTCTCTATCGACACCTTACATTAGGAATCTACCGCACGTTAAATTCTGGAAACGCATTTGCGCATCTCCAATGGCCGACACGGGTGGAAATATTAGGTCGATGCATAAGTAATGGCGTTCTTTTACACGTCACGTTATGTGTTAAAAACGGCATTACTTATGCATCGACCTAATAGAACGTTTTACTCTGCGCGAGACGGAAGGGTGGGCAAGCTGAAGCGAATGCTAAGATCGCCTACAAGAAGAAATAGTATTTCCTTCGAGTGCTTCTTTCTATTTTAAATGAACGGCTCTTCAGTTCCTCGTTAACGTTTCCGTACAGTTAGTGCGTTTACGGAAAACCAGATGGCTCCTCGAAGACCCTTTATGTCTGCTCTGTTCTCTCTTTTTCTTTCCCATTTTCTCTAAGCTCTCAAGGTCTTCCAGGCGTCACCTCGAGGGCGAATCACAGGATTTCATCTGAAGCTTCCCCGAGACGGAACTAAAACGGCAACTTTCCAACAACGAAAAAGAATACAATGAAAAGCCCAGCCGAAGCGATTAGCCTTTCGAGAGGTACGTTTCGCCACGATGAAGCGTCTTTTTCCTCGGGAGGGGAAATCAAAAAATGAAGAAGAAGGGACTCTTTGTTCTCCCAAGAAGGCGACGACATCGTGACGAGGTAGATCTCACAAGAAGCCGTCCAGATCGGAAATTGACCAATCGAGCCCCTTTCTTCCCATCGATGATCGACAAAGAATAAAGGGAACCACTCATCGTGAAGAAAATGTCTTCTTATCTTTATCTATCATCGGTGATTCGAGTTCGGGCTTGATAAGACGAGTCTCGATCGACTCCTCTCCTTGTCAGGGGAGAAGAGAAGACACTCGGTTTCCACAAGTTCAACAGATTGCCGTGAGAAAGCTCAAAGAGGCGGATGGGTGGCATAACGAACCGGGGTGGTTTTCGTTTCCCGAGAGTTTTGACAACTTACGACTTTACTTACTAGATTCTTTCTTTTCATAAGTGACTTTGCCATCTGGCCCTACGTCGAGCGCAAGGGACACAAAGAAAAGAACACTATGTAAATTGCTTGCCTACCTCACTCGTACGCATTTCTTTTTATCTCTTGATTCTAGTCAAGGAGTGCATTCGTTCACTCTTAACGTTATCGTGACTATTGTTTCTCTATCACTTAATACTAGGGGTCTAGTTGTAGTTTTATGTACACGGGGTAGTTTTGGGCAGAGGAGGAGGTCCTGGGCCTCACCTTCTTGGAAATCGATGCCTTCTTGCTTGAGCAACTCGCGCAGCTTTTGGATCTCTTCTTTGAGCTCCCTGATGAGTTTCGCATTCGCGTCCTCGTTGACGACGGCTTTGCAAACGATCTGCTTAGCTCGATCGGCATACCTGAAGAGGGGTATCGATAATTCTATTTAAACAAGGTCCCTCCAAACAATAAATGAAAGTACAGCAAATGAAATCTCAGAATGGGAGCAGCTTCATCGAGCAAGCTAAACCGCTGCGACACGTTGAAAAAAAAAAAAAATCACAAGATTTGCATGAATTACTATTATATTTTATAAATTACCTGAGGGTAGAGAGGGTCTCGTCGTAGTTAATATCGGCAGGGCTGACTGCGGCGATCATGGCTGTTTTCGAATTTCCCCCGAGATTTTCTCGAAGAAGCCAAGTCAGGACCGAATCTCTGTAAGGGATGAAATCTGCCTTCTTCTTCTTTTTCGTAGCCTGAAATTGTATACAAACATGTTAATCGATTTACAAGATAAACAAGCAAATAGTACAGTTCTTTAAATATGCTCGAGTTTATCTTTCTATGATTCCTACTACTTTATCGTTAAAAATGATCTAATTCGAAGCGGTCACGTTTAGAAAGATCTTGCACTTACCGACTGTGCGTCCAGACGACGTTGGCAAGAAAAAGAGTTTTTTGTCAAAGGAATAATATAGATTAGGACTTGAACACTCATTGCCATTGACTTTCTGTACAGCATTAGTGATGTCGAGCAAAGCGAAGTATACTCACGATTTCTGCAAGGGCGCTAATAACTTTGCCAAGAGTGGTCAAACTCTTGTTAATGTTGGCCCCCTCTTTCAGTCTGGTTCCTTTAGCTCCGGTTGAATCAGCCCTTTCTGATCCTGCAAGATCCACCAGAGAAATCTTGCTGACTTTCTCGGTAACCAGACTTGTCGTTTTATCGTGCTTCTGCTGAGTAAAGAAGATCGTGAAAACGGCGTGCGACCTGCTGGAAGTCTCGTTCATGTTTGTCGCCGCGACAGTCCTGCAAATAATTTTGACAATTTTTAAATTTCCATCAAAAAATATTTTCTATCACCAGGCCCGACGAGGAGTCTCATCGTTTCAGCGAGATAATTCAACGAACACTGTTAAAACTATTCACAAAATTCATACACTTTTAGTACACAAGGTAGAATTATGAATTTCATGGCTCAAAAGTGAATTATTACAAATTTACTATAAACTTCAAGATAAACTAGCAACTTTGCAGTATCATATTGGAAGCTTGTGAAATTTTGTAGAAAAGTGAGTACACTTATGTATTAAATTTATAACATGTGTTTGGAAATCTTATAAAATTTCAATGTTTTCTCTTTAACAGTGTACAGACGCAGTGTTAAATACTGCAGTATAATACAAAAAATTTGTATATTTCTCTTTTTTCGTTATAAAACGGACCTGGCTTTATTGCCCTCGTCGATGAGGTCGTGGATGTCCTCGTAAGACATCACCGCCAATTTGGAGAGGTCCTCGACGTAGGGCCCCAATAAAGGATGTTCCCTGACTCGAAGGTTCCCTTTATTTTTAGGATTCAGCAAGTCGCGAACCCGCTCGCAGTAGATTTCCATGTAGCTAACTTCTACCGAGTATTTCAGTTGTTCATTGGTGTTAATGCTGATTTTCCTGAAGAGATCCTTGCAGATCTGTGGTATTATGCCCTCCTGGCCGTCTTCTTGTTTACCCATCATGGTGTACGATTTCCCTGCCCCGGTCTGGCCGTATGCGAATATGCATACATTGTATCCTGCGATATGATTTTAAAACCTATGATAAAGTCTGTGTTCCACATCCTAATGAATTTTTTAAATCTAATTTAACAACCTTCGAACGCATGCTCGAGCATCTCTTCGCCGATGTCCTTATACACCATAATCTGCGAGGAATAATTCGTATCGCAGGGCTGAAAAATAAGACAAAAACAGTGTATTCCTTAGATATCATTTATAGAGAAGGATATTTAGTTCTAAAATTTTAAATCCCGATACTCACGTCCATGGAGAAGTAGGAGTAATCGTAATTAAAGCTTTTGGCCGCATCTTTACTGCCGGGCGGTGCTTTCGGGTTGATTATCGCTGAAAACGAAGAAAAAGACGGCTTAGCTGGAACATTCTAGAATATTTACTTGCCAGGTTCATACATCTGCTGCTTGGTAATTTTATTCCCGACTTTAAGCCATACGCTCTAACGATCTTCCAGGGGGAAAGTACTGCAATTATGCAGGGGGAACTGCGCAACCGCAAAGTGCATCATGAATCCGCCAGACGTCGCTAGTGGCGGGGATTATTAACAGCCTAGAGGGTATTCTGTAAATTTAATCAATGCATCCTCTCGTGGCGATGGCCTTACGTTAATTATATACCCTTGATTATATTTCCACTTTCTTTTTATCCTTTTCAACGCACATATAATCGAAACAGGCAGTCTGGCTTGCGTCTGGATTTTCAAGATGGCGGGTGGGAGGAACCGAGCTTAAGTGCAAGCCCACGACTAAAGTGGGAACACCGTGTATTGTGTAATCAATGAAGACGGTGTCAGTGATGTAGACATTACATAAGGGTGGTAACCCTTCCAGGGGATCGATGGAACATCGAACGCGAATGGGACGTCGCGTCGCTCTAATCAGGAAGGCATTTCGTCGGCGCCACATTGGCTCGCTGACGTCACTACCAGTGAACCCTACGCGTCAGACAACCTAACCTCTCTTGGGCGGTAAAGCGATTCGCCCACGCGATAACCACCGGTTTTTTTCCACTGGCCAACGAATCGTCGAGAGGACGATTTCACGCATTAATTGCACCCTCCATCGAGACTGAATGGCAGCTGATTAAGTGGATCAAAGAACGAGAACGAACGCCTTCCATGATAGCTTCTCGAAGTGCAAGTTCACAGCTCGACTTCAAATGAAATCACGCCGTTCGTTTCCGGGTGCGGAAATTGCGCAGGCCCTTTCACCGGAAATTGCGTCCATGGTTTTTGCCGCGTCCGATCGAGAGCAGCCCGCCTCCACCTCGAGTTTTCGAGGAGGCATAACTTCTAAAAGACTCGACGAATCGAGCGCCTTTAAGTTGTTTCGAGATCTGTGCCGAGGAGAGAATAATCTCGCGGGATTACTTCGCCCTGATAGATGGAATTACCCTTGGGATCTTCTTCTTTGATGCCCACCAACCGACGCCATTGTTTCCTGGCCTCCGCATTGTTGCCAATCCTGGGCAACAGGGCCGACGCTCTACTGCTCGGAATTCCAGAAACTCCGCTCTTTTATGCTCCAAAGTTGAAATTTGGCCGGCGAACATTTGTCCGACCGACAATGTAGACGTTTCTGCGGCACTCGTGGTATCGATCGTCCGTGTTGCGACTTTCTGGCGGCCATGCTAAGTGCTAGGAAACGTCTAAATTGTCTCGAGGATATGCTTCGGCTTCGACCGAACTTCACCTCGAATATTTGAGTCGATTTAATTCTCAGACTACTCGATCGATAGCGACTATGAGAATCGTTTGGAAGTCGTCTCGACGGAGATTATTATACTAATATTCCATCACGGTGATGGCTTCAACCGATGGAGGGAAATCCTTAGGCCATTGTAGTTTGATGGGCGCGAAACGGCGCCATTATTCACCGATGCTAGAGCCGTAGTGGAGCATGGAACAAACGGACGAAAGCGCCGCCCGAGGGTAGTTCAAGAAACTCCACTTCGGCGCCCCCAACTTTTCATTTAGTTTCCGGCATTTTCCCGAGCAACAATGCGGCTATTTTCACCGCTCTCGCAATATCGATTCATCGTCATAACGGCTCTTGCGGCGGCCATATTGTATATCGAGGAGAATGATCTCGGCCAGAATGGCGCCGAATCCTTGGAGGAGGAAATTGGATGTAACGATGGGAAAGAGTGAGTCATCGGTGCGGCTACTGGTATCGATCTCGCTGCGAAACTGCGGCCTTCTGCCTTTCATTGGACATTTTTCTCCTTCGCTCCTCTTTTTTTACCTATTTTACACGAGCCCATCCAGCGGAGAATCGAATTTCGATACAGCTCCATGTTGGTTCCTTTCCCGCCAACGAATGCTTTCCACTGTGTGGTCTCTTTCTCTCAAGTATTCCCCACGATTACAAAACAGCCTAACCTAAATATTGCTTCACTTTAAAAAATCCTTTGATATTTCCAATACGGTTAAATAAAAATATATACTCCAAATTGGGCGCACCAAATCATTTGAAACTTCACCGCGTGATTATGGCGGCCCTGAGAAACAATGCGATGCTCATAAGATTTCATTTTTTATTATTTTTTTATTTATTTATCCCAGACTAGAACTAAGCACACGTATTTTTCTTGAAAAATGAAATTTCACGAGCATCGCGTCTTTCCTTGCGACCTCCATAATCACGTGCTGAGTTTACATAGAGGATGAAATGACATTTCATCTTCAATTATATGTTTTTATCGATGCATAACTTACATGTTGTATTGCCGGTCATCTCGATGATGCATTGTGCCTCGCGGGAGATTTCGCGGTTGTTGAAGGGACGCACCCGCACGGCCACCTTCACCGACGACATCTTGGGGTTCCTCCGAGGTCTTCAGTCCTTACGCAATCCTTGAGACGCCCTCTGCAAATCCAAAATGGAGGTTAGGTGGTCCTCGATCGCTCGGAGGAGCGGCATTAATTAACATTAATTATTGAACGGCCTCGCGGTTCGGGAAGTGCCGGCTTGAAAATTCATCGGGCGAATTCCTAGGGAAGTATTCGAGGGAATCCCTAGCGTCGTCTTGCAACTAGTTACGGCATTTATGCCGCCATTCCTCGCGACGCCGCGACCAGGAGGCGTATTTATCACTCGCATTAATCCTCCCCCGAAGCGCCGCGGCACCGAGGAAGAGATATGCTGGATTTGTCAGACGAGGAAACCACAGATGTGCATAATTACACCTCGCTGGTAATCAATGGCGCGCAGTTTCACACGAGAAGGGGCGAATCAGCGTCCGCGGATTTTCAAGATGGCGGCCGGCAAGACCGCCGCCGCCGTGGGGGAAAAATGTTGAAAAATGCGCAAATTAAGCGCTCACGTGTAACGCTTTACCCCCACACGTGGAAATCTTAGGGCTTAATCCTGCTTAATTCAATTCCGGCGGGTTATTTAACAAAATCGAAGTAAGGATTGCTGAAACGTGTCATCGATGTCCGACCACTTAATTGAAATTCTTTGCCCGATTATATTTACAAAATAGAAATTCACGAGTAGACTGAAATTCTTATTATATTTACTTATATTGTCGGGTTATATTTAATCTTTAGTTTTTTCTTATTTTAACAGTGGAGGAGTTTTCTTCTGACTTTGGCGACATCTACCGATGGAAATGGTAACTTTCTTTATGAAGATGTGCTCGGTCTGATCGACTGCTCCACGTGTGATAATCACAACGGCCTCCGGGCAGGGGGATAAGCATTAAGGCGAATCCACGAGAAAGGGGATGTTTCGGCCGACTTGAAAGCGGAAGGATGTTCGCAAAAGTGGACTCCAACGAAGGAAATGATAAAACCGAGCGACAGCGCCGAAAAGCCCAGTCTTTTAAAGTACTCTTAACAGCTTAAGGGCTTAGAGCACGCGGAGTATAATCCCGTTTCCATTGTAACCTGCGCCAACTGACTCGTCGGTGAAATCGCCTTAAGGTCGAGGACGAGAGCGCAACGACTTCGTGCCTACGACGCCATTTAAGAAGATTAAATTCGACGATCGATGGACAATCGCGGCAGTGGTGCCAAAATCGCCACATCACTTCATACGAGTCATCGACTTAAAACTTTCCGTCGCGACGTAGCTGATTCATCGACGGAGCGTCATTACGAAATGGACACATTTTCTATAAATAGAAAAAAAATGTAAAACATACATAGTACACTTATACACGATAACTGAACACCATTCGAGGCGTCCCTCACACTAAATGTTAAGATATCTCTTTATGGCTATAAAAAACCAATCCAATGACGATGACAATCAGTAGAAAACAACAATCTGATATATAATCAGTAGTTAGATATCCGATATAAAGGTAATCTTGATCGCAGGAATTATTTTCTTCCTGGCTGGTGCGGATATGCCCATTATTGAGGTAAAGAACCCTCGGTTGCGTTCGCTGAAAATGTATTTGGCTCGAGACTCAACCGAATGTCCATTCCTTAGTTTTGTGTCCTGCATTTGAAGGAAAATGCAGTTGTGCGAAAATGACCACGTGCGAGGCTGTAATCGAAACGAATCTGAAAGATTATCCCTAGAAAAGACCCTAGAAATAGCTCGGAGGGAAGAAGACCGACGTGGACAAGATACACCGAGGGTAACGCGATCTTCAGAGGGTGGCAGTGAGTCACTCGAGCACGAAACTTCCGTGGGAAGCACGCAAACACGAGGAAGCTTGAATTACCGCAAGCTGCCACCACATCGACAGTTTACTTTTACGCCCAGAGGTGCCAACCCGAGGAAGGCGTGACGTAAAAATTGGGTCACAAAAATCACTAGGACTTTCGGCCTGACTGGGAATCGGAGTGCTCCAAATGAAATCAAACCTGCGAATCAGGTTAAAGCTCGTTACTGAACTAGTCGATGAGTTTCTGCCGAAAAGAGAACGCTTGTACCTAGATGCGCCATTTTGGAAGAAATCACATGTCGACGTAAAATATCGATTTCATGAATAGGTGATTGCAAGAGCATCTCTCAGCTGGACATCCACGCTTCCGGGTGACGAAACGAATATCCCACGTAAAGTTATTAACAATTAGTGGAAAGACAATTACGGGTAAAAATACCTTGTAATTTTTTTAGGAAGGCCGTGGGATGGATTTCAGAGATCGGCCGATCATGTCCGACCTAGTTCAAAACATATTAAAGAGTTCTAATTCGCGACTGATCGTCACGTACGACATGGCTGACGCGACGTCGACTTGCACCACTTGAAAAGTCCCCAGACGGCAGATTCCACTAGTGACCCGGCGGAGAAATTCGTCAATGTTTATAATTACAATTTTCAATCGACACACCATCACGTGGGCATAATTCATTGAAGATATCGGTTAAATATTGTGTCGGCTAAAAAGTCTCGTGGCGTTTCACATTTTCGTTTCAAACCCCACCAGAAGCTTGCACAGAGGCATCGAGATGGGCACAATTAATATACAGAAATGAAGAACACATAACTAAGTCTGCAATAAATAAAAATAAACGTCGAGATTGCGTTATCAGTGTCGCAAGGCATTTCAATAAAGCCAAAATCTAGGAAAGGTGGCAAAATGCTAAAAATGCCCCCGAAATTATTATTATTATTCGACGCGCCTCTTCGAGGTGTCCCTTAACCTACCCCAAAACCCGTGATTCACGGGGGTGCTCACGTTTTGGCAACTCAGGGGAGACAAGGAAACCCATAAAGGGAAAAATGCGCGACTCCGTCGCCCCAGGAATCGGTGTCGATAAAGTCCAACCTTGAACTCGGGCGACCTCTGTGCTTTTCATGGCGAGCTTCCCCGTGGAAGAGCACCGCAAAACCACCCTGCGTTTTCACCCCCGAGCGGCGAGACGAGAGAATCGATCGCAAGTTCCTTTTACCCCTTTCGGAGATCCTCTTTCCTCCGAGTGCAAGCTCGCCCAAATCGCTTTCCAGACCGCGTCTCCTCAAAGTCTCGGGACAACAAACTTTGTCTGCTGCGTCTGTCCCAAGAGACGATTAAACAAAAGGGGCGCATCCAAGCTCACCGCTCCACAAAGTAATCTCCCCTCTCGAGCTTACAGTCCCACACAATAAGCTCCGAATTTTGGAAATAACCAGAAAATACGCTTTCGACAAGTTAATTAGAATAATTAAACGTTTTACGACCCCAGCGTGAGAGGTACAGTTTAGGGGCAAATCCATGCATAACGGAGTACCTTTAACTGCTATAGATAGACATTCGCCCCAAAGCTGATACGACGCACCGCAGATAAACACGGTTATCTCCTCCTTCCGTCAACCAAATAACGATATTCCTAACCACAGGTCCACGCCTTGTAAATCTCGGAATCGAAAGCACGATTGGATTTCCAGACGAGGGAAGAATCAAGCTCGCAGTTTGGAATTTACGAGCGCTACTACGCAGGCTCCTACCCCGGGGTACGTCGAAGCGTCGCGTAAAAGCACGTCCATAACATCCCACCCCTTGGAAAGCGAGAAAATCCCCGACCACGCCTCCACTCCCAGATGTCTCCCGATTCCGAATCAACGATTGACTTCGGGGATATCGAAATATCGAGGGAGAAATCTGAAATTTGCGCAGGTTCGGTCGAGTAGTCGGGCCCTCGCGATCGATCGAGCGAAGTTATCCTCGGCTTACCCTTCGTTCAGAGGTGCCTGTTCTCTCGAATCGGTCCTTTAGCCTCGAGTTCCGATCCTAGGGTGGATTTAACGGCGATCACAACCCGTGGAACGAACGAGCGAACGAATCACTGGCCTTCGAGAAGAACCGAGACGCGCACGCAGACATTATTGCACGTCCACCTGAGAGCCTTGCTCGGCGAAACTCTCGGGAGCCGACGGCGGTCGACGGTGGCGCCCCTGTCGGCCGCTTGTGGCGAGTTCCAAGATGGCCGCCGCGACTGCGCACAGCTGATCGCAGGCTCGGCCGTCCAATCGTGGCGCGGCCTGCTCGCGGAAATCAATAGACTGTGGAGGCCTCGTGACGTCACACGGCGAACGATCGACCAATGCGACGCGGGCGGAGCCGGCCAATTCCTTTAAGCAATCAATAAGGAGCCCGAGGACCGCCGAGCAAGGATACGCGGACATTGCTGGCGACCCTCGCGAGCCATCTGGACCTTACTTCGGACGGGAAATAAGAGCGCCCGGGATGGTGTCCCAGGAATCTCGACCGGAAGACACCGTTCTGGGGGAATTTTGTCCAGGGCCATGTTCCGGATTCCCCGAGAGGCCATTATTTCCCTGGAACGTATCGCGGTACGCGAATTGGACGCCAGGACCGTGGGCGTGTTTACGACTTTTCGGAAATTTTATCCTAACCTCGATTGTCGGAACCGCGGACGAACCTCGTTGGCTCTTGAGGATCTCGATATATTTTGTAATATTTATAAGGATTCAGGTGTTTAAAATAATTATCGCAGTTTTTGTTGTTTAAGATTTGTTCTCTTCATGCAAGTAATGCGGGTGTTTTCCTTTGTGCATTTGTTATTTATGGATGGATGAGGGGAATGGAGATTTTAATGGCGGCGTCGCTAAGCTGGAAGCGCGGCCATTTATTCGGTTGTTCTTAAACAAGGTATAAGATTATGCGGTAACGAAAACGTTTATGCTAGTTGTCCGGAGAGATTCGTAATGTGGAATATAAATAGTAATTGAGTGGAAAGAAAAAGAAAATCCGTGAATTTGTTCGAGGCTTTACCGCGTCTCTCGATGACGTCTTCTTACTCCGCCATTGCGCGGTTCAATGGCTCGTGATATATTATCCCTGAACGAGCTTTTTATGCACCCTATCTTCACCTCTTTCTCCTCGCGTGAATCGAGAGTTCAACTTGACTTTCATTGTCAACTAAGTATGTCAATGATGTAAACAGCTCGTAAATTAACTCTT